TTTCCCTTTGGGGTTGCTGTAGGTGATCCAGAAGTCTGTTTTTGAGGCTTGTTTACATGTCTTCTCATTTCCAGGGGGTGGGGGTGGGGAGGTGCTTCTGGCACCCTGGCTCACCTCTGCCCTGGGAGCTTGGGATGGCAGCAGGGGAGCTTCCTTCTGGGTTCTGGGACCTGCTCAGCTTCTCTGCCCTAGGAGCTTAAGATGGTGGCAGGGGAAGCTTCCTTCTGGGTTCTGGGACAGGCTCACCTTCTCTGCCCTAGGAGCTTGGGATGGCAGTGGGGGAGCTTCCTTCTGGGTTCTGGGACTGGCTCAGCTTCTCTGCCCTAGGAGCTTAAGATGGCGGCAGGGGAGCTTCCTTCTGGGTTCTGGGACCAGCTCACCTTCTCTGCCCTAGGAGCTTGGGATGGCAGCAGGGGAGCTTCCTTCTGGGTGCTGGGACCTGCTCAGCTTCTCTGCCCTAGGAGCTTAAGATGGCGGCAGGGGAAGCTTCCTTCTGGGTTCTGGGACAGGCTCACCTTCTCTGCCCTAGGAGCTTGGGATGGCAGTGGGGGAGCTTCCTTCTGGGTGCTGGGACTGGCTCAGCTTCTCTGCCCTAGGAGCTTAAGATGGCGGCAGGGGAGCTTCCTTCTGGGTTCTGGGACCAGCTCACCTTCTCTGCCCTATGAGCTTGGGATGGCAGCAGGGGAGCTTCCTTCTGGGTGCTGGGACCGGCTCATTTTCTCTGCTGTAGGAGCCGGGCACTGCTTCTTTCTGATGTTTTCCTGTGCAGGTAGAATTATGTAAACAGACGTTTTTAAAAAGAAGCAAATGTAGATTGTTTTGTACCCTGTTTTTTCCCCCACTTAATAACAAATAGTGAAAAATCCACCATAGTACAAATAGGTATCTTTGTAATTTTAAGTGGCTCCTGAAATAATTTGGGGAGGAATACTTTTAGTTTCCTTCCATTAACTGTCCTTGGAAGGAAGGCTTTGTTCAAACAAGATGCCTAAGAATCCACTAGTGAATGAGCGACCAATTTCTTAAAACAATGTCAGCCACGAGCTCATCAGATCATTTGCCCTATGGCTTCTAGGCTTCTTGCTAATACTGCTTCATGCCAAAAGGGACACAGTTCTGATAGAAAAGGAGAAAAATAGTCTTGAGAGAGAACATTCTCCTTGATCTTTCCCATTCAAAAGTCAGTCTCTAACCATGCTGGTCATTTGCAACACCAGATTCACTGCGTTGTGGGTGGATTATTGAACGGGGCCAGATGAACACTGTTAGTGATAACTAAATTTCAAATTTTAATTTTTTCTTCTATCCCTAAATTTGTCATTTACAGAATCCTCATCATCATCATTGTTTTTTCCCTTTCATGATATCTCTCCTTTTATCCAGTTTTGGTTCCTCTGCTGTTCTGTTAGGTTACCCAAATCATTTTTGTCTCATTTCTGAATCCTTCACTCCCACCTGCTTTTCACAGCACTTTCCACCTCTCAGGATACACTAATTTGAAGTGAGATCAAAGACCCTAATTAACAGTGACTGAAATAAGGCAGAAGTCTACTTTTTTCTTATGTAAAAATCCAGAAGCAGATGCAGGGCTCCTTGAAGACTGCTGTCCATGGAGTTGTTAGGATTCAAGTTCATCCTAACTTGCTCTGTTGTGCATGCCCGACTTCCACACAGCCTCTCCAGGATCCCAAGATGGCTGCTCTTTCTCCAGGATCCAAGATGGCTGCTCCTTTTCTAGTTACAGTGTTCGCATTCCAGCCAGTGAGAATAAGGAATAAAAACAGTCCTACGCTGGACAGTCTTTATCCTGAGTGGTTACATGTCCAGCTAAAATTTAGGGCTCTAGAACAGTAGGAAAAGGGATCATTGATCTTGGGAAACAACTAGCGATTTCTGCTACATGTGGTTTGACTTTTTGTCTTCAATATAGCTAGAGTCACTTTCTCAGAGACTTGGCTTCAAGAGGAAAACATTGTAAATGCTGAGCAACACTGAGGCATCTGAAAACATATTTTAAACCATTAGTCAGAATTCTCACAAGATTTCCCCTAAATTTAGTAACTATTTCTTGATTTTTCTTCAGGGATGGGTTTATAAAAGCGATTGGCCCTGCTGATGTGATCCAAAAAGAGTTTTCTGGAGAAACTTTCGAAGAAAGAATTGACTGCTCTGGAAAATGTATCCTACCAGGTACTTACCTCTGTTTCAGAAAGCTTTGAAAGTAGTTTTAATGGTTGCCTGCACAAAGTAAAGAAGAGTGGCTTGTTGGAAAGAGGGTCTTACAGTACCATTAAAAGTAATAATGGTTCCCAAGTATTGAATTGGTACTATTGGTTTACAAACATGATTTCATGTTGAAACCTCACAGCTATCCTCTAAGGTAGGTACATTGTCTACAAGTTATAGAATAGAAAACTGAAGGCTGGAGGTGAAATATCTTACCCAAATTTGCTAAGAAGGTAAAAGGAAAGCTGGTTATTAAATCCATTCATTCCCTCCATTTCTTCCCCTTCACATACTGAAAAGAGACCAGTTGTGTTGTGTTTAGGCTGCAGAGCCTAAATAGAATGAAATAGATGAAATAAGTTTCTTAATCCATTACATAGGGGAGGTGCGAAGAGCAGCTGCTGTGTCTAATCCCATAAATGCTCCAAATTTGTACAGAATTCTAGGGTTACCCTATATACAATTTTTATATTTTAAAAATGTTTATGACTTGTCAGGTCTACATTCTGGCTTTGGAGCATAAAAACCAGAAAACAAAGTCAGGGAAAAAAGTTCAGATAAAATGTTGTAGGAAAGAGAATATGATAAAAATATGAACAGGGACTTTTGATTTAGTCCAATCAGAGCTATTTACAACTGATTTAAAATATTTTAAGTGTTTGTTAAAGGCACGCTTTATTGAATTGTATCTAGATAAACAAGTTTCTCGTGATTGCTTTACAGTTTCCCCTTAATTCAATAGTTTCTTTCTTGAAGATAGATTCATCTTACTTTTCTTCTCAAAGTTGGGGGTGGTTGTGTTCATGATTCCTTGCTGATATAGTCCTTGGTTTTACTCAGTGAAAGGTTTTAACAACTTGGTTTAAAAGCTTGTTTGGTGGACATGGATCTACTCGTCGAAGGAACTGTGTAACTCTAAGGGATATTTTCATTATGATGAATTACCCTCCTCCCTTAGAACCTTCTAGATCACCCATCAGGGAACCTCCCAGACCAAAGCCTTCCAATCCTCCCTGCTCCAAGTTAGACGGCTACCGTGCTTCCCAAGAACATGGTGCAGGCTGCCTCCTCACTAAATGCCTTGTGCTTCTGAACTTTAAGGTGCCTTGATTCATTGGTTTCAGGTCTGGTGGATGCACACACACATCCCGTGTGGGCTGGAGAAAGAGTCCACGAGTTTGCGATGAAGGTAACTGTGATGAATAATGGCAATCAAAATCAAGCACAAAGATAGTCTTTTTTTCTAAAGAGTTGGATACTAGCAAACCTTGCCACGTATTTTTACTTCTTGAGAATAAAAAACAAATGGAAACAAAACTAATTTACTTACAACTGCCCCAAGTCTTTCTATGAAGCATAGGGCTAGTAAACATTTTCAGTAGACCAGTGTTTGACAGGTTTTAGGTGTAGAATCCTCTTAGAACAAAGCTGAGTGACTTGGCCACTCTTGTGTCCTCCTTCCTTCATTGCCACCACCACCTGTAGTAACATTTGTGTATTCCAAGAAACAGTTTGAAAATCACCATTCTTTGGGGCCAAACTTGGAAAAATACAAATCACAAAAACAAAATGTCTTACGTGATTATCTTTTCCCCAGAGGATCATAAAACATGGTCTGTTTTAGTCACATATTAGCCAAAGCCATCTCCTAAATCTTTGGTTGCAGCCATTTTCACGTTGTTTAAAAGAAAATAAAATATGTGCATCCTGGTAGCTAACTTGGATTATTTCAGAACAGTGGAAAAACCCTTTTTTGTTAGCATGTACGTTCCTCAACAAACTAGAGCTGTTTTAAAGACTATCTTTATTAAAGCATGAGTTTCAGAGCCAAAAGTAACCTTAGAGATTTGTGGTCTGGTGCTGCCATTGTACAGATGGACGCAGGCCTGGAGAAGGGAGAGGGATGGCCGGCCCAGGATGGCCGGGCCAGGCTATAGCTCTGGCCTGGAGACCCAGGCTCCAGAGTTTGCACCTGCTGTCCAGAGTGACTGGAGTGCACGGGACCCAAGAAGGCCTCTATTTTCTTGAGTGACAGAAGACAGGCTCTAGACTCTGGTGCCTAAACACTGAGACAAGGAAGCTATCCTGTGTCTCTGTAGTGGGGATCCTTGCAGTGAGGTTCCCTGAACTCCTCAAGGATCACATTCTCAGACATGCTGAGGGGTGCTGGTGGGCCAAGACTTATCTGGTTCACTTGGGGTGGAGGAGGGGGTGAAGAGACAGGGTTATTAAGACACTGAAATGCTCTTGGACCGGTTTTCAGTTGGTGCTATCCTGAGTCCCCAGATGGCCACCCACCAGCCTTCCATGTCTGCCTCTCCAGTGCCTTCCTGAGATCCCCTCCCAAGGACCCCACAGTCCAGTGCCTGGGTGCTGGGGACTGAACCCAGTCCTTCACACTGAACCTCATACCCAGCCCCTTTTTAAATTTTTGAGACAGGGCTTCTCTAATTCGCTAAACTGAGCAGGCTGGGCTCAAACTTGTGATCCACCTGGCCACACCTCCCAGAGTATTAGGATTGCAGGGTTGCCCACTGCTCCTGGCTGTACTTAATCATCTTTAAATGTCACCCTTGGAGGTGGGTACTGGGGTCCGGCCTGCAACCCAGCCTGAGGGAGCCATGTGTTCAGTTGGCAGGCGCCTCCTACATGGACATCCACCAGGCTGGAGGGGGGATCAACTTCACGGTGGAGCGCACCGGCCAGGCCTCTGAGGAGGAGCTGTTCTGCTCCCTGCAGCAGCGGCTTCGGTGCATGCTGAGCGCCGGCACCACGCTGGTGGAGTGCAAGAGTGGCTATGGCCTCGCCCTGGATGCGGAGCTCAAGATGCTGCACGTGATTGAGCGGGCGCGGCGGGAGCTGCCCGTGGGCATCTCAGCCACTTACTGCGGGGCGCACTCAGTGCCCAGGTAATGGGGGAGGGATATTGAGGGGGTTGGAGGTACAGCCGCGCTTTAGCTCTTGCAAGGAGACTAGGAGGAAGTGGGCTTTGGAAAGATGCTGTGCTACACGTGGCCTGTCATCCAACACATGGCGTCAAGAAGGGGCTTTGTTGGCCTCATCAGTTTTGCTGATCTTTTGTTGATGAAAGAAGAGACATTTCAAGTTCTTTTGGAAAAGAAATGGACCCTTGGAGGGCCTTTAAAATGACTGATGCTAATTTGAATAATTCCCTGTGTTAGTTAATTAGCATAAAAGTACTGTAGAAGTTAACAATAACACCATGAGAGAGAGAGAAATAGCAAGAGAGATCAAACCTTGTATACTAAGTGATTGAAGGAGGGTTTTGTTTTATTCATCTTTTACTAAATAGCAAACATTTTTGTTTTATTGTAATGTTTTTAAACCTTTCCCTTTGTGTTAGGTTTCTGGGTCTCTGAGACTGAGTGCCCAACACCTGCAATTTAAAGGGGGAGAGGTTTAGTTTGGCTCACGGTTAGGGGGATTCAGTCCATGGTAACCCAGCTCTATCATGGCAGAAGGGTGTGGCGGAGCAAAGATGCTTAGTTCATGGCAGCCAGGAAGCAGAGCAGAGGAACAGTGTCAGAGAGGAATGGGCCAGGGACCAGATACAGTCCCCAGGGCTACACCTCCATGACCCACCCATTCACACCAAGAGCAGTGCTCTACTCATCTCTACTAATTGGCTAAGGGCTTCTTAATCCAATGAAGTTGACCTACCAGGGTCAACAATCACACCCTTTACCTAAAAAGTTTCTCCTACATGGCATTACTGCAGAGAACTCCGGTCTGCTTTTGGGCCTGCATCTTATCTGTTGAGTTCCTTTTGCTCTTGGAATTTCTGAACTGCAAGATCCATGGTTTCAGAACTAAAAGATCTAAGAAATGTTCATGGAGTGTTTCCAAGGTCTTAGTGCAGCGTTCTGCCTTGGTGACCTACATATATAAATGCTGTAGACTTTCAAACATTATTGAAATGTTATTCATTTATTTTTCTTTTTGGTACCAAGGATCGAACTCAGGAACTTGCACTTTCGAGGCAGGCGCAGCACCACTGAGCTAAATCCCCAAGCCCTTAATTTTCTTTTCAATTTTCTTTAGTAACTTTAAAATATAGCTTACTTATTTGACAAATAAAAACTATGTATAGTTTATTACATACTGCATGTCTGGAAGATATGTCTACCTTGTGAAGCCAAACTGTGCCAATTAATGTATGCATTACTGGGCTGGGAATTTAGCTCAGTGGTTTCACAGCCTGCTGCGCAAGCGCAAGGACCTGAGTTCAATCCCCGGTACCAAAACAAAACAAAACAAAAAATATATCCATTACTTCACTTATCACTTCTTTGGTGAGAACACATATAATCTATTCTTGTAGCAGTGTTTAAGAATATAGTACATTGTTATTAACTATAGTAACTCTGTTGTACAGAAATATACATTTTTAATGTTAACGCTCATTAACCATCTTGAATTAGAGGAACTAAAAAATTAACATAACACTTGTTATTCAAAATTCACAAAACTAATTATGTAGAAAAGAAATGCAAATATTTAATATTTCCAGTCATGTTTGCTATTTTGTTTTGTTTTGTTTTTTGGTATGGGAATCGAACTTGGGACCTTGCACTTGCAAAGCAGGCGACAGAACCACTGAGCTGTTAAATTTTTAGCATTTGTATTTCTGAAATTATGAAAGCTCAAAGCAGCACTGAGTCTTTTGAAACAGCCTGTAATATAAAGTGTCTTACAGTTTGCTTCTTTTTCCTTCTTCAGTAGGAAAGGCAGTGTGGCATGGTGGAAAAGACTCAAACTTTGGAGTGATAAAACTTGGGTTCAAATCTGACTTAGTTAGCTCTGTGATTTTTGAGGGTGAGACTTAACTTTTTTGAACTTGACTCACACGACTGTAATATAGAATTGCACAGCACCCTCTTCTGTATGATTGTGTTGAGAAGTAGAATACTTGCTTAGCATATGGGAGACTCCGAGTTCAATTCCCAGCACCTCGTGTCTTTGCATAGTTGACCTCTGCTTTCCCACTCAAATGGTTTTACTGAGTGTCAAATATATACCTAAAGTTTTACAGTCTTCTCCCTCTACTTCTGAGCATCTAGGTCTACATCCCGATCCCCACTGATTAATCCTGCAGTGCAGTCACAGCTAAATAATGTGCCCCAAATTGTGTAGCCAACAAGAGGTACAGCTCTGTGTCCATCTGACTTTCAAAGCTCAGCCCTTTCTAAGGTATAATGGCTCCAGAATTTTAGGGAGCATTTCAGGCCCTCCTACTATCCTCTCTTCTGTCCCTGATCCTGAGACAGAAAGTCTTAGAAGGCATCATGGAGGAAGGAGTAGGAAAGAGAGTTGCTGGGCCCCAGGTGAGGGAACAACAGGTGGCTGGAAAGCATCCAGAATGTCCCCTAAGCATCCTTGATGGGGAGCCTTGATACAGAGAGGTAGCTTCGCAGCCCTGCCGGCCTCCCAAAAGGCAACACAGGTGTGCCAGTGTGGCTGAGCAGTTTGTGTCTCCGTGTATAGGTTGTTGTAAACAGAAATCCTGTCCATACCTCTGCTGTGTAGGCATGGCCCAATTGTTAAGAGTCCTGACTTTTGAGCTTTGCTTCTTTATATTGCTGAGGCTTGAAGTCATGTAGCTACATTGTTTCTCAGGTTCTTCAAATGCCTAATTGCCCTTTTTCTTTTTAAAAAAAAGTATATGTATATATTTTCCATCAGAGGAAAAACTGCCCTGGAAGCTGCTGATGACATCGTCAATAATCACCTCCCAAAGCTGAAGGAACTTGGCAGAAATGGGGAAATACACGTTGACAATATAGACGTGTTCTGTGAGGAGGGTGTCTTTGATCTGGATTCCACCAGAAGGATTCTCCAAAGCGGAAGAGAGATGGGGTTGCAGATTAACTTCCACGGAGATGAGCTGCATCCCATGAAGGCTGCTGAGGTGTGGTTGACCTTTGGCTCTACCTTTGTCAACACTCACACTGTGGAATACTTAATTTGTTTGTCCACAGTTAGGAGTAGTCTGCTAAAAAGATAGAAAATGGGGCAACTTGTTTGAACAATATGAAGATTGGTCTGACTGAGCATGGAAAATTCTGACCTCTATTAGAAACTTACTCTCTTTTGTTGATCATTTACTTTTTTTTTTTCGGTGCTGGGGGTTGAACCCAGGGCCTCATGCATGCTGAGCGCATGCTCTACCACGGAGCTGCTCCTGCAGCTTGATCACTGCCTTTTATTATCATCTACTGCTGATATTAAAAGAAACAGAGGTACCTCTGTGATCTCATTTACTAAATTCACAATCTGTTTTGTCTGGCACCCAAAGCCACTCTAGCATGGTAGAGTGTTTTCGCTGGTAGCTTCTAGGATGGTCTTGTAACACCCTCCAGAGCAATGATGGTGGCACATACTTTTCATCATCACAGGGAGATTTTCTAATCTGTATTCTTGCTCAGATTCATTTATTCATCCTTTCAGTAATTATTCATGTGTCAAGTGTGTGCCAGGCACTGTTCCGGGTAATACTGAGAACTCAGCAGTGATAAAGCCTCTGCAGTTGGGAGTCTGGACATCTCTCCTGTAAGCCCAGAACTTAATAAGCAATGACCCGTGGGCCATTGCTTAAAAACAGAGTTGCAGACGCTCCACATGCGTTGCAATCATGCACATCCAACTTGATGTCCTAATACCATGTCCAAACCTTACCCTATGTTCCCGGCCCCAGTGCATGTTGCCATCTATTGCTTCAGTCAAAAACTTAGTCGTCATCTTGATCCCTTTGATTCCATATTTCAGGCAAACATGAAGTGCTCCCAGTTCTCCTCCTATGAGCCGCTAGATCCACGTCTCCTCCCTTACACCTCCGTCAGCTCTCACCTGGGGTCTTGCAGTAACTATTCTCCTTGCCTCCACTTTAATTCCTTCCCCTGACCCATTCCTTCAGTGCATCGTATCCTTTCCCTTCATCACTTAAAACCACTTAAAGGCTTAGCATTGTTTTGGGGGCAAATTTCAACTTTGTATATGGCCTACCAGGATCTGCTCCTTACCTCTTGGTTTTCTTCCCTTTCTCTCACTCGCCTTTTACCTCCTCCAGCCTCTGTCATGAATCAGGCACAAGAAACGATGCTTAATATTCCACGCCTTTGGGCATGCTGTTTCTCTAAGCTGAACATACACTGGCTTTTATTTTTTGTGGTGCTGGGGGTTAAACCCAGGGCCTTAGCTTCCACTTCTCAGGCACTTCTCTTCCTGTCTTTACCCCACTGGATTAAAATCACCTCTGTGGTCCCTACTGGACTATAAACACAATGCACACTGCACCAGTTCCTTTGCGTATCTCTGTCTCTAGAGATCAGCACAGTGCCTGGGTTACAGATGGCCTTTTGTATATTGAATGTTGAATGAACGCAAACTGGGTGATCAAAGAGAGATTTTTGGTCCTAGACAGTGACTGGTAGATTAAATCAATAGAAGTCAATACTCATAATAAGTTCAGAAAACTGAAGGTGATTCCAAGGCCAGAGGAGCACTCCCCCTACAGAGCATCATCTGTCCCATGGACCACCGGACCCCTCCAGAGCCCCAGTCCCAAGTACAGGCCTGAGCGAGCTGCTGTCAAAGGCAGCTCTTCTCTGCTTGGCTGGAGCATTGGGGCTTCCCTGGGCCACCGTGAGACCCCAAATATCAGTCTACTGTCCTGTCCTTGAAATGCTTCACATGTCACCTTTTAGCTTGGGGCCCTTGTGTGTGCATGTGTGTGAAAACTTGTTCTTTAGGGAAAAGTATGTGATAAAACTAAGCCGAGACGTGATCCACTCGAAAGCAGTGCTTCCAAGTCAAATAGCATCACTTCCTCTTGGTTTAGCCCCGCCTTCTCATCGAGAGGAAAGTCAAGATCACATCACTCATAGAATCTCACATTTTCAAAGTGCATTATTCTTAACTTATTGCTTTAAAGTTTATTTGCTTATCTGATAAGCATTCCAAAATACCTGTCTTGATTGTGTTTTTATGATGGCATAATAGATTTTATTACCAGTGTTACTCAGAACTCTACTCTGACGTGTAAGATTCATAAAATTTTCTGTGTCAGAAACTGTCTGAGAGTATTTGTGTTTAAGATCAGTTTTAAAAGCAGTAAGCTCTCTTCCTTTCAAATGCATGTCCATTATAAACCTTTATCCATTCTAGGGTTTATGCTTATTATAGGTGGTATTTGACAGGAAGTCTTAATAGTATAGTGGCTTTCCTTTTGTAGGTAAGGCAGTTTCCTGGTGCTTTCTGTATTGTTGCTCTGCTTAACCCCCCTCTCTGCCTGTCCTGTTTAGCTCGGGGCGGAGCTGGGAGCCCGGGCAGTGAGCCACCTGGAGGAGGTGAGTGATGAAGGCATCGCTGCCATGGCAACGGCAGGGTGCTCTGCCGTCCTGCTGCCCACCACGGCCTACATGCTGAGGTAAGTGAGTTTCTCACCCTCGACGCAAGGGTCGCATACACAAGCTGTGAGGACACAGACTTCCGAGGGCCTAAACATTACTCCGTCACCCTTAAAAGTGCCTGAAAATGCAGCTCCAGGAGATGCCAGCTCTGCACAGGTGTTCCTCAAGGAAGGAGCTTAGGCCTGAACTGCCTCGGGGTGGTGAGACTATTGAGAAATATCATACTTTCTTTTTCTTTTTTCTCCTAGATTTTGGTATTTTGCAGTTTAAAAACAATAAGAGTGCATTACTTTTATAATTAGAAAATTATGAAACAAGATTTAAACTTTTTTAAAAAATGCATAACATCTTAGGGCTATTTAACAGTACTCGGAATTAGAATGAGCTGTTTTCTAAAAGGCTGCTAGTGGCTACCATGATTGAGGCCCAGAGTTTCCACGAATCCCAGGGATGGGCAGACTGAGGAAACATACAAGGTGTATTTTGCAAAATCTTCCCAGAGATTTTGCTTTAGGCCTTCTAGGAATTGAATATACTTGGTCCATCTTTTATAACTGCCATTACTCTAATTCTGCTAAACAGGAGATCTGAGGCCTTTTCACCCTTTCTATCAGACCAGTTCCGTGGCAGCTGCCGTTTGTGTTTCAGGTGGCCACATGCAAGTAGCAGTTTATTTTCTCTGGGGACTAAATGTCTGTGTGTGCTTATGGTACGTGGTCTTGGGTGGGGGCCGATTCTGCAGTTATGGTCTTAGAATAGCCATAAGAGGGTATTTGACAGTGTCTAGGGACAGCTCTGGTTGTCACCATTAGGGGACCCTACTGACATCTAGTGGGTAGAGACCGAGGATGCGGGTAAACATCCTTCCATGCATAGAACAGCCCCCAACCCCCAACGAAGAATCATCCAGCCTAACACAAGAACTGTGCCAAGGTGGACAGGGCAACTTTCAGCAACTTTTAGAAGGGAAAAGAAAAGAATATTGTGCTTTTCTGGAATTTATTAAGATTCCACACATGTATCACTTCTTGGCCTTTTGGCTAAGATCAAGTGAAGATTCCACACACGTATTTTTTATTGTTTAAAAATTTCTCTTAAAGAGTGAACACAATGTAAGCTACAATTAAGAAATATCAATAAGTGTTCTTGGTCTGGTCAACTGCTTTTCGGACAGATCTCAATAGTTGTCACTCTAAGTCATCACTCAATATTTAATAAGTTTTTTTCTTACTTGCCTGGAATCACTTAACAGGGAGCAAAATCTGAGACTCTGGCCCCGAAGTGCTGTTCAGCATTCACAGTCTGAACTTTGTTCCTATGACATCGAGGGCTGCCTTTGCCACAGACAGATTTGCATCATACTTGGCGACAAGGACAATCAAAGACAAGGCCACACTCTCTCTCTGGCTTCAGTGTTCTGGTGTTTTTCTGCTCTCTCCTAACCGAGAGACTGACAGACCCCCATCCTGCCCTGCCCTGGCCCCTTCTTCTTTCCAGCATGACCGCTGCCTTATGTCTCTTCAGGGCTTCCTTTAATCATGAATATTTGCATATACTGTTTATTCAGGAAATATTTTTTCTAGGGAGCTCTCAATATTTCTACAGCCCCACTTTTCCCTCATGTACTTTGTTCTAGGAGGGAACTAGAGCCCATCAGTGTGACCCCTGAGAAGTTGGAAGCTACAAAAATCTCCAGTCTGAAGTTTTCCTCCAAGGTTTCTTTTGCCTGAGGTCAACTACAGACTGAAAATATTAAGTGGAAAATTCCAGAAATTAACAATTCATTAGTTTTAAATAATTTTAATCAAAGTATGTTGTTATAATTGTTCTATCATTCATATTTTTCTGAATCTCTTATCATGCCTGATTTGTAAATTAAACTTTATCCTAGGTAGATATATGTAGAAAACCATAGCATCTATAGGGTTCGGTACTCTCGGAAGCCTCAGGCATCCACTCAGGGCCTCAACATGAATCCTCTGTGGATAAGGGGGACCACTACCCTTTCCTCACACTCTGCTTCACTTATCTCTTGTACGTTGTCACTGAACTTCATGTATAGTCCTACAGATAGTCAAAACAGACTGGGAATAAGTCCAGGACCAGAATCATCTCTGTGCCCCGAATGATTTATTAATTTACAAACTAATGTGTACAGCAGCTTACTGATCGCCAGGTGCTGTTGTAGGTACTGGGGTTGCAGCAACAGATGGCACAGACAAAGGCTGTGTCCTGAAGGAGCTTATATTCTAGTGGGGGAGATGACAAGGTGCAAATGACAGGTGAATTGAAGTGTAAGAATGTTGGGTTATGCTAAGTGCTATGGAAAACACCAAAGCAAGGTAGGAGAATAGAGTGTTATGGGGAGGGAGCTATGTTTTCAGGTTGGTCAGGAAAAGCCTGACTGATGAAGAACGTTTGAGCAGAGAGCTAGAGGTGGTGGAGTGAACCATGTCTAGGGGAAGGAGCGGGGACATTTTAGAAGAGTGCAGTGGACAGATGGCTGGAGCAATGGGGAAAAAGCACTGGATGTGTTTGGGGAGAAACAGTGAAGCCTGAGAGGCCTGCGCAATGATGGAGCAGTGAGAAATGACAGCAAAGGAGGTGCAGATTTCTTAGGGCTCTGAGTTGATGGAAGACCACCGGAGCATTTTCAACACCGCAGGGATGTGATCTGACTTTTCTTCCTGAAAGCTCCTGCTGGCTGCTATATAGGAGGTAGATACTGGGGTGTGGTGAGTATAGAAGCAGGGAAAGTAGAATTGTCTTGCAAATATCCTGGAGAGAAATGACAGTCCCTTGGACCCGTGGTGGTAGCAGGGCATGCAAAAGAAATTTGAAATCTGGATATTTTTATGGTGGAGCCAACAAGAATTTCTGATGGATGGGATATAGATTGTGGGAGAAAAAGAGGAGCTAAGGATTTAACTAAGATTTTAGTGCCTGGAACACAGCACATATGAGTTGGATGCTTTTTGAATGACTGGTTGAATTGATGACCCATTAAGCTTTATTAAATGCCACATAGAAGATACATAGTCTTTCCATTAAAACTGTGAAGAAGTGCCTGTATTTGGGAGAAGAAACAAAAATGAATACAATAATGACATAATAATAAAGGATTAAAGAATGCCTTCAACAAATCTTTATTGAGCAGCTGTTTATGCCAGGCACTGTGCTGGTATTAGGGATGCAATGGCAAATAGGACAGATGATCACTGCTTTTAGGAACTTGAGTCTAAATGTATGAAATGTGATACACAGACAATAAGACATAGGGGATTTCTGAAGAAAGTGTCCACTTCTGGGTGGGGCACCGGGAAAATGACCAGAAGCAGCTGAGATTCGGACTGGGTCTGATAGTATGAATGCATTTCATGGAGGGCAGACTTCCTGGACAAGGAGAATGGCAAGCTCAGAAACATGCAAAGAGAAAACCCCAGGGTGGGAGGGCAGTGTCAGGCAGAGTAGTGATGAGAAATGATGCCTGAAGAGAAGGTTGGGCTCAGTTCATGGAGAGCCTCAATTGGCAGACTTAGGCAGGCTGTAAGTATTTTGGCCTATAAATTTATTTTACCTTTTGCCTCATTCACTACATTCCTAGACAGCACCAATCATTCATTCATTCAAGCAAACAGAGACAGGGCTTACCTCTTAAGGACAAATAAATTACAATAAAAAGCAACATTTCTCTTGCAGTAGGGGCAGACACAGTAGTCTAAATACCTACCAGGTGGCTCAAGGAGGGCGCCAACCAGCCAGATGGATGTCAGTCAGAGATAGAGTGGGAATTCAGGGATCTCGTTGTAGTTAACAACCAGAGGGTGTACTGTTCCGTCACGCTGAGTATCAGTCAGGTCGTTACCATGAGACGAAGACTGTCTAGCGGTACCAGGGCTGATGGGGGGCATGGGTGATGTGGGAGGCCAGGAGAGGCGGTGGCTAACAGGGATGGTAAATTCTCCTTGACAGAACTATAGACAGTTCTCAGCCCCTTTCGTGTATGGGCCTTAATGTTCGGCTACAAAAAAATCTTCCAGCTTTCAGTACAAATGATTTCACCTCCCTAGTCCTAACCGCCAAGAGACCAGAACAAACACTAAAGTAGTTTCTGATGGTCCATACTGCATCCCTAAGATGGCCTTGGTCCCTGAGAAAGCTCAGTTTCTGGGAGAATCTACTGTTTGCACCAGCCCCAAAGCTGTTGAGAGGCAGATAGGCCTGAGACTCTCTTGGAGCAATTATACATCCTTTCTCTTCTCCTTTGAGATTAAATCCCCATCCCGGAGTTATATTCTCAAGGACCCAACACTACCTTCTTGAAAGTCAGATATCCAAGGAGAAAACTTTCACTCTTGTTCCCAACTTGGGGGCCCCTTGCTCCAACTTATACCCCTGCCTCCTGCCACGAAGAGAGAAATTTGTCTCCCCTCCAGATGAGTCCCAGGGACAGCCCAGATCTCTGACTAATTCCCTGTATCATTTTGTAACTTTCCCCTTCCCTGACTGCTTGAGTCCCTGATTCATTTTCCTTCCCTGCTTCCTCGTTTCTCTTTAAAACCCCGTTACCTCTGCACAAATTAAAGTTGAGTTCAGTTTGTGGTGTGTTCTTTTCCTTATTGGAGTAGTTATTACTGAATTAACCTGTCCCTCTTGCTTTAACTAGTATATGGCTTTATCTTTGACATGACTTTTGAATTCTATCCTGAAGAATAAAGAATATTTCATCAAGGATGTCAGGGAGATGAGTCATTGGGAGAAGCACAAACATTTTACACACATACTACATTCTTGAGCCTTCAAGATTTTAGAAGAACTGTGAAAAATGTTTGAGTCCAGAAGAAAGAGAAAGAAAAGAAGAGGAAGAAAAGAAGAAAAAAGGAAGGGAAGAGTAAACTCATTAATTATTTACTTTGAGAATCGTGAAAATTTATTAGATTTGAAAACCATTTATAAGTTATATTTTCTTCCTCAGCAAGAATCTCTAAATATATATAAATAATTAAGATAAATAATCACAAATTAAGCAAGTAGTCATCAGTAATTTTTAAAGCAGTGATCAAAACCAAGAATCCCGGGGTCCTAGCTAGCTCCATCACTAATCTCTCAACCCTGACTTTGTGTTTCTCCTTCCAGAATGTGAAGAGGTTAGTTGTCTGGAGTTGTCTTCCTTTCTGAACATCTATTCTGAAATGTTCCAATCCTAAAGACTGACATTTTTCTTCCTCTCCATAGACTGAAGCAGCCGAGAGCCAGGAGGATGTTAGATGAAGGGGTAATAGTTGCTCTGGGCAGCGATTTCAACCCTAATGCATACTGCTTTTCAATGGTAATTATTTTTCATGTTTTTCTGAGCAGAGTATCTACCAATCTTTTTTCTTGTTTCACAGGGAAATGTTTTTAGATCTTCCCCATGAAACAAAAAAGAAGGTGTAGCTAGTAGGATAACTGGGATGTTCTCCACCACATGACTGCCTCCAGGTTGAGAGAGAGAAGAGAAGCTACTATTTATATTGTTTTCTGACTTAGCCTTGAGTTTTTTGGTTTTATAATAACCCATTTTCCTTCTCTAGCACATAGCAGAAACTCTGAGGTTTCAATAAGTTAGGATGGAGGTAAGCTTCATCTTATACAATAAGGGTCTTGAAAAGTTGTAAATAAATATTAAATACACAATCTCTGTAGTACAGGAGATTTTTCCCAAAGCACAGGAACCTTCATGTATAAATTTGGATATTTTCATAGCAATTCAGCAAGTTCCATCTGTCATTTATTTGGGGGATGCTGGGATTAAACTCAGGGTATTGTGGATACCAAGCACAACCTCTCCAACTGAGCTACATCCTGAGCCCTTCTCTCTATGGATTTAACTATCTTTAATTGTTGTGCTGTGTTGAGCAATGTTCTAAGTAGCTGTTGCCATTCTGTTGCTTCCCCACAATGCTCTTCTCTTCCCACCTCAGCCAGTGGTCATGCATCTGGCCTGTGTGAACATGAGGATGTCCATGCCCGAGGCCTTGGCTGCTGCCACCATCAATGCAGCTTACGCGCTGGGGAAATCCCACACACATGGATCTTTGGAAGTTGGCAAACAGGGGGATTTCATTATCATCAATGCATCCAGGTGTGTGTTCTTCCAGTGGAGCTATTTTATTTTCTGCCCATTGTCATATTAGATGAGGTTTAAATCTAGTTCCACTAGTTATTAGTCTAGACTGAGATACTACCTAATCCTCTCTATCTTCAGCCCCTTCTAGTCAGAAAATCTACCTCCTGCTCCTAAACTTCAGGTAGATCATGTTTTCAGGCTTCTTTGTCTTCCATCTGTCATAGATTTCCAGGTTCCCGCTCTGTTTACCTGGACTTGGGACTTCTTGTGCCCTCTGGCATGTGTTTTTGTTTTTCTTTTGGGACCTGCTTGCTCCCAGCTCCATTTGTCACCCTGGTTGTGATGCGTTCTTTCTTGGCCTTCTGATAGCAAGTGGACTCCCAAAGTCCTCCCCCAGTGATCTGTTCCTGATTTCTTATTACCCATGGTCTGCTGCCACCTAGGCCTCCAGTGTGGCAATCTGGGTCCTGTTGTTCTAATCTGAAAGTTGTTAATTCTAGGACTCTTTAACTCTTGAGAATCTGTCACATCCCTGGGACTCCATGTTCCACTGAGAAGAGTGGCTCTATAATTCCACTCCTCGTGGTCAGAATCTTGATTCCCCCCCATTGAAAATGATGCTCATGTTACCATTTGTGCCTCACATAAGGAAGCAAATATTTTCAGATCAACTACTTAAATAATATTACTAGATGATGTTTAATTTACAGTCCACCAGTTAGCTATTTACTTTTTGATCGAAAGATTCAAATACCAAAGATGTAGTATAAATCAATTTTTAGAAAATGTGTCTTTCCTTTCTTCCCTCCTTTCTCTCTTTCTTTCTTCCTTCCTTTCTTCCTTCCTTTCTTCCTTTCTTTCTTTCTTTCCTTCCTTCCTTCCTTCTTCTTTCTTTTGTGAGACATGGTCTTGCTATTAGTTCAGGCTGACCTTGAACTCACTATGTAGTGTACATTGGTCTCGAACTCATGGCAATCCTCTTGCCTCAGCCTCCCAAGGGGTGGGATTACAGGTGTGCCACACCATGCCTGGGTGAAAATGTATTTTCAGATTAGCGTTTATTGACATAGTGATGATTCTGACTACTACGCGTTGAAAGAGTATGTTTGATTTTTTTTTTTCCTAGATGGGAGCATCTGATTTACCAGTTTGGAGGCCATCATGAATTAATTGAATATGTTATAGTTAAAGGGAAAGTTGTCTATAAAAAGTGATAGAATTGGAAGAAAAGAGAAGATAATTATACTGTATCTAATAAATCAGTACAGCTATACATCTTATTAGTTTTAGATAAGTTAAAATTCAGTTATCTTGTTAATTCACTTAACAAAACTTGGGGTTGATTTATTTGAATTGAACATGTGCACAGGAACATATAAACAAGTAAATCACTACTGTCGAATCATTAAATTGTTTCACAAAGATTGCTTGTGAATGTTCTGAAGATGAATACGATGGAATATCACAAAACTGCCTTTGTGGGAACCAAACCTAGCTTGAAATTTCCGTTTTGTTTTCACATCTCATTTCTCAACTTTTAAGCTATATTTAGTGACCATTGGGGAATGGAAGGAAATCTAGATGATATGCCCCAAATTAAGCAAACTGTACCTTTTTCTAGTAAGCAGATAGTATTTTCTTTCCGCACACAGTTTGTCTTTCAAGATGTTTTTCAAATGAATTAATGTGTATGGTATATGTGGGGAGTGTCCTTCCACTTCTAATGGCTTTTCATCCCTAGCAATGAAACTTCACGGCAGAACTGAAGACTTGTCGTTTTACACAGAGGTGCAGGAGCTTTTCTGTAGTAGATGCATTTTAATCAACTCATAATATGTAATTTTTTGAAATCGCTTTAATGTTTTTGATTCTTCACATCACATTGTATAAGAAACATATTACAGATCTCAATAAATATTTGCTATTACTAATGTTGTTTCCTTTTAACCCCGGAACTAGATCAGTAGCGTTTTCTATCAGAGTTTTTGAACAAAGTTGAATGAACAAATTACAAAATTATTTGCAGAGTGAGTGATTATGATTACTTACATAACTGTGCATTTCTAAAGCCATGTGAGTTTACTTGAAACCTTTTAAAATGTTTCATTTATTTTTATTATCACAGCTACATTATCAAATTTTGTCCTATTTATAAAGAAGTGATTTGACAGGTAAACATTAATTGCCAAATTATCACCAAGTTCAGATTAATAGTGCCTGAATTACTAAGGCTTTATTCTACTCAGTATAAGTAAAATGAAGTCAGTGTTCTGTTACTATAATAAAATAACTAAAGCATGCTGTATTAGTCAGTTTTTCTCTTGCTGAGACATAATACCTGACACCCACAACTTAAAGGAGGAGAGGTTTAATTTGGCTCACAGCTTCAGGGGGTTCAGTCTATAGTCATCTGGCTCCAAGGCAGGAGCATGGCAGAAGAGCATGGCAGAGAAAAGCTGCTTAATCCATGCTAGTTAGGAAGCAGAACAGGGAAACAGCGCTAGAGAGGAAGGGTCCACAGACCATATTTAGTACTCAAGATCACACCTCTAGGACCCATCCAGACACACCCGAAAGTGTGCTTTGCTAATCTGTTAGGCATTTCTTTATCCAATCAAGTTGACATGCTACTTATAAAATCAGGTTTACTTAGCCCACAGCTTTGTCAGCTGAAAGTTCTCATCAACATGGCCCAGACTCTGGTGAGGGTCTCCCTTGGCTGCACCAACTCATGGCTAACCACCATGGTGTGAATGAGTGTAACAAGAGCAATCACATCTTTGTAAGGCCAGAGAGAGAATGGATGGGGCCAAACTCGGGCTCTTATAACAGCAGTCTTGTAAGAACTAACTAGAGTCCCAGGAGAAATGCCTTTATTCCTTTTGAGGACAACTCTCCCCACCCTCCAGTTAACTTTGACCTAAGGACTTTACAGCTTCATCTTCCAGAGGTCTCACCTCTTAGCATTGCTATTTTGAGGACCAAGCTTCTAACACATAGACCCTTGGGTGACAAACCATAGTATTACTGCTGGTTGGAAGGTTAAGGGTCACATTGCATTCTGTTGTCATTGCATCAGGGTTTTGAGGCTTCTATCCATCATGTGAAGCCATTGTGAGAAGCTATGGAGGAATCGCGGTTGCTGTGGGTGATGCCTCCCCTGTGACCAGTCACCTAGCTAATGGCAGAAATGTGGGATGCAGAAGACACAAAGGGCAAAACTAAAATGTTAAGTCTACCCTAGAACCCAAGCCATCCAGGGTTATGAGGTGTAATTGAAAAATATGGTGAATATTCAGAAAAGTTTTGAACCTACCTATAGTAAAAGACACATTGCCATCAACTCCCTTCAAAATATTCCCCCTTGCTTTTTTTTTTTTTGGTACGGGGGGTTGAACTTGGGTCCTTGCACTTGTGCAGCAGGTGGCGAAACCACTGAGCTAAATCCCTGGCCCTTGTTCACTCTTGCTTTGAATATACTTCTCCCATCATTCTTGTCACTTTCTGAAGCAGTTCTGGAAGTCCTCTTTCATGATGTTAGTTGCAGTGTCATGGCTGCCTCATATGTCCTGAATCAAATCAAAATGCATACCTTTCGCAGTCATATTGACTTTGGGGGAGTGCCAGAAGTTGCATGGTATTGTATCTAGTGAATAAGGTGAATGAGAACACAGTGTCATGCGTGTACAATCCTGTCTTTTCCATTGGGTGGTACTCAGCAGCAGCATTCATTGCATTTTTTATCACACCTTGTAAGGACACTCAATGAAGGAAGACTTACAGAACTGCTTCAGAAAGTGGCAAGAACAGTGGGATAACTGCATTTGGAGCAAGAGGAAATATTTTGAAGGAGACGAAAGGCAATGTGTCTTTTATTACAATGATTTTTTAATTTAAATATTCACCATATATAATTGATCATCTCTGGCTATTCTAACCCTTAAGGAATGTGAGTGCTTTCTAGGAAGCCTTCACGCTAAACAAACAATATTTGTATTTTTACAAAAAGAAAGTAGAAGGCCCTACTCTTCTCAGGCCAGGGTGCTGAAAGTCCTTGCCACTCACAGGAGTCTGGCAGACTTGCAGAACCCTGACCTCACTTGAGACCTGCTGAATGAGAATCTTCCATCTTGACAAGCTTCTGGGTGACTTGCATGTCCATGAAAGTCTGAGAAGCACTGGGGTCCAGGCCTGGTCACAGGGATCTCCTCACTTCCTGAACTTAGCACGTGAATCATAGAGGGCATGCAGTACTGCTTCCTCTTCCTGGCATACAACAGCCCTCTTATCCACAGAGGATGTGCTCCAAGACCCCCAGTGGAGGCCTGAAACTTCTGGTGGTACCAACATTTTATAGATACAAGTACTGTTTTCTCCCATACAAACATACTTATGTTAAAATTTATAAATTAGGGAAACTAAGAAATCAACAGCAAGAACTAATAATAAAATTAAAAACTCATAGCAATATACTAAAATAAAAGTTAGGTGAATGCGGCCTTCCTCTCAAAATATCTTACTGTATTTTTACCTTTTCATGTAAAGGAAGCACTTTATGGCTTCTCTTCAGCATATCTGAGTTGCCAGCATTTCTGCTCTGATGCTTCGGGATCAGTATCAAGTAAAACAAAAGTTACATGAACACAAGCACTGTGATGCCAAGATAGTCATTCTGGTAATTGAGAGCTTGATGAAGTAACTAATGAGCCAGTGGCATATACAATATGGGTCCACTGGAGGTTCACATCCCAGGAGGGACAGAGATGGCTCAAGATACTTTCATGTTGCTCGGAATGGGGCACAACTTAAAACTTGGGAATTGTTTATCTCTGGAATTTTCTATTTAATAATTTCAGATCACTGTTGACATCAAGTAGCCAAAACCACAGAAAGTAAAACTGTGGCTGAGGGGAAATTAAGGTACTTAATCCCACTTCTCTGTGTGGGGAAATGGGAGCTGTTGTCCCTCATTCCTCACATGTCTATGATAGCCTTCTTAGTGTTGTAATTTAATTGTCTTTCCCACTCAGTTGTGAATTAGTAGAGAGCAAGGAGCTTATTAGGTCCTCAGAAGTTAGGGTAGTGATTGGTTCAAAGCAGATGGTGGATGGATAATGGATAATGAATAAGTGCAAAACACGGACAGTGACAGCGAAAATTATTTATCAAATGTATTGCTAAGCAGACCAACCCAGGATGCAGTGCAAATGCTTATTCTGCGGGTTGGAGAGAGCATACGCTCTCTTAATATAATGCCAAAGGAGCATGCTCCTGAGGGAGTAAAGCTAAAAATAAAACCAAACAAAAAAATAATTGCATGGTGGTGGTGGAGGAGGCTACCATTCTCAGCTCGGAACTTCTGGAAGGCCTTTGATGAGCTGGAAAAGCCTCATGATGCCCAAACAGACGGTCGTAGAGTATTCAGAAGGTACATGATAGGTCCTCCTGGAGCTGTGGATTCAGTGGGGGTCTGGGACTGTCAAGTCAGATTTTTGGGGCTTTCAACATCAGGTTCACTAGTCAGAATGTTATTAAGGCTCAGGGAAGCCACTGAAAGTTTTTGAACAGGCTGTACCCAGGACAAGAATATTGTAGGAAAATTAAGCTGGTTTTGGTGTACATATTTGCCGTGTGCTTGGCTCTGGCAAGACACCTACAAAGCTGACCAGTCCTTTGGTGGAGCAAATACCAGTTGGAGTAAATCCAGGAGGAAAGCTCTCAGAGTGGCTCAGTAAGATGTCAAAGTCCTTATCTGTGCTCCACTGAACTAGACTAGCATCTCTTTTCTCATTGTAAGAGACAGTTCAGCTCTTCAGCTTGTAAACAGGCAGCTAGCAAGGGACAGGGCGTAAGATGGAATTGAGCTGGTCAGCCTTACAAAGACAACAGCAGGTGTACTAACTTAAGAGTTAACTCAAGCCACATAGAGAGTTAAGCCCAGAGACATAGAAACAAACAAGAGAAATGATAAAAGTTAAGATAAAGGCAGGCAGTTAGGTAGAATGGAATGCACCAAGTTAGTTAGCAACCTCTTCCTACATCCAGGTTGGGGGCTGGTTTTAATGAATTCAAAGACCTTGAGTAACTGATTTTTCTTTTGAACTCTGCATTAGAAAGCCTGGATTGGTTATTTTAAACCCATGAGGCTACCTGTGATAGGTGACTGCTGGACCCTGAGCAAATTCCTGTGCTCTGCTTATCTAGAAAAGATTGGACAGAGCCTTTGTGCCACCCCACTTTCAGGGCCCCCCAAAACTGGGAGCTTTCTTCTTATACTTCCAATGAACACTCCTCTTTACTGCGTCCTTTTCTGTGATTTCATTCTTTGACTTTGTGAGACAGCAGCCTGGTTTGCATGGTATCATCTTCTTTTAAAAATGACCAGTCCATCACAGGAGAAAAACTACATTTCTCCTAAGAAAGATTGTGTCAGGCAGGGTCAAGCTTTGGAAAACCTCAAACCATCACATGATACGTTTTTGTGCCTACCAAGAAACAGTTTTCACCCCACTGGAGACAGTATTGCCTTCACTGGGAAGAGGATGCAGTAAGCTCATATGATATGTATGCCAAACAAGGCACACATCTGGGCTTTGATTTCATCTTGAACTCTTTATCTGAAAATTCTAGAGGTTGGATTCCTTCCATCCCTGTAATTCTGTTTCTAAGCTGGGCACTCCCTTCAGAAAATTTACAATCCAATTAAAGCAGGGACACGGACATTTAATAAATGAAATCTATGCCAGATAGTATTCAAAGCTTGATCTCAAAAGAATAACACTGTGCTGAAACATACTAACTTTATCATTTATATTATTTTTGCCAGTTTTTCTTTAAGCATGAACATCTTGGTCTTTCTAATAGAAAGTAGTTGAAGAATAAAGCCAATGCCAGCCTCTTGAAGAGATTTTTTTTTTTTGGTGATGGGAATGTATTCCAAAATATGAAGCCACATGTTTTTCAAGTGGTTCTACTGAAACTACTGTAGGCAAGGGGCACCTGGTACCGGATGGTGGAAACTACCATTGAGCCACAGTGCTCTGTCCCTTTTCATGCATGCTCAAGATCTCAGAGGTCTTCTATGCTGGTAGAGTTTTGCTTCCCCACTGAACATGAGTTATGCTGTCCTTGTTTTGGCCCCTGATTACTTCCCAGCTTTCCCGTGGTAACTAGTCCACATTCCTATTATTTGTTTTCCCATCTGGCCCACTGCCTAGACTATAAACTCTGAGTTCAAGGACCACAGCCATTTGATTTCCCATTTATTTGAATCTGACCAAACACACAAGGGATTTCCTGACATGTGTGCCATACATTGACACTTAGCTTGCATTTCTCCTTTTTTCCTTGTCTCTCTCTGACTCCCACCCCACAAAGCTCCACTCAGCCCTTTCTCTCGAGGCCTCCTTGATAACATTTGGAACAGCAGTTGCCATAGTATGTCCCCAGCTAGACAATAAGTCCTTGAACACAGGGTTGCATGTGATGTTGATCCACAGCAGCCCCTCACGCACTGGGTGTGTTAAGTAGGAGGCCAATGGCTACAAATAGCAAAACTTTGGCCAAAATTGGCTTAACAATAAGGAAGTTTTTAAGCTCACCACTGGAAATTTAGAGGCAAGGCAGGTTTCTGGATTGGTTGATCCCAAAGCTCAATGATGTGGCACACCCACATCCCTCCCTCTCTCTGCTCTGCCATCCTGCCATGCCCTGGGTCTGGCTGTCTGCTGAGGGCCATAGCTCTCAGTGTCTATCATTTAGATCAAGCAGGAAGGGGAGAAGGATGACTTCCTGTGGCTCTTGTGAGAAAAAACATTTTCTCAGAAGCTTCCAATAAATCTCCTTGGTTTCATAACCTAAATCACACTCCAGCCCTTTCTTGAACTAAAGACTCAGCAAAGGGCATAGGGCATTTTTAGACTAATCAAGTCTATCTCCCGAGCTGAACAAATGTCTTCCAACTTTTCTTCTTGTTTTTTGGGGTGTATTTTCAATATTTACACTTTTTTCCATTTAGTTTATTGGTAAATTTTAGGTATAAAATAGTTACATTCATCATTGGGATCTTGTATCTTTACATGAGTATCTTGGTTCTTATTTTTTTTCCCCTTCCCCTGCCCTCCCTTCTCCCCCTCCACCCTTCTCTATTGGCAAAGACTTTGTTTCCATTTTTTTCCATTTCTCATTCAATATTTACACTTAATTAATGAATACCTTTCGCAAAAGTAACCTGAAAGGCAAAATGATAATGGTAAGTATGATATCTTGATTAATAAAAAGATATTAATCTAGTGATCAGACCCAGAAATAAGACATGGTTAGAGTGGCATGAAAAGTATCTCTTTTACATATTCATTGGATTTTTTTCTTTTTGATTTATTTGTTTATTTATTTATTGGTACTGGGGATTGAACTCAGGACCGTGCGCTTGTGAGGCAGGTGGTGGAACTACTGAGCTACATCCCAGCCCTCTTTTTGTTTTAGAGACAGGATCTCCTTATATAGCCCAGGCTGGGCTCAAACTTGTGGTGATCCTCCTGCCTCAGCCTCCTGAGTGCTGAGATTACAGGTGTGCACCACCGCACCCAGCTGTGTCTGCTAGATTTTATTTATTATTTATTTATTTATTTATTTTGGTACCGGGGATCAAACTCGGGTCCTTGTGCTTGCGCAGCAGGTGGCAAAACCACTGAGCTAAATCCCCGGCCCTCTGCTAGATTTTATATATGTGGTAGATTGTTAGAGAACAGCCATGAATCATGCCCAATCACAATCCATGAATATCACTTGAGTATCACTCTCCCAAACTGACTCCGGGCTTGTTGAGTGGCTTGGCAGGTGACTTGCTTTAGCCACTAGGCCATCAGTGAAAATGACACAGCAGAAGCTGGAAAAGTCCTTGTGTTTTGGGGCTCACGCTCCCTAGCTTCCCCGGGAGGAGAAGAAGCCCAGGTGAGCCTGTGGGGGAGAGGATCCTGATTCCTCCCGTTCCTTTGCCACTACTCAGTGGGAAGAGGAAGAAAGTGCACTGGGCTCATCACATTTTTCAAAATGTGTTAGTATTTGTTCCTTGAATCTTCCAGAATCATGATTAACTACAAGTAGAACAGCCTTTTTCTTACGTGGTGTTAAATTCTGTCACACAAGTCTAAGAGCTGAACCTGGGATACAGCCTGTGATAGAGCACATGGTTAGCCTGTACCATGCCCTGGATTGGATTCCCAGTGAAATAGGATAAGTACCTCATGGAACAGGAGGTGGGGGATTCTCGGGCCCTGATCCATGATCTGTTACCCACTAGAGGTGTGGGGGTCCTTCCACCTATGCTCCCTTGCTCACAATATGTGGAACACACTCTCCTCTTATCTCGGGGACCATGTACACTACAGCAGCAGGGGGGTGAGGCTGCTATTATGTCCCCAAGGACAAAGCCCCTGGTCCAAGTCTTGTCCTAGGAATAGATCCAATAAAACATAAGCAGAACACCTCCAAAAATGCCAAACTCATCACCCAATAAAAAAATTCTTGGCTCCTAGCCCACCTCAGTGGTGCCATGAAAACTACTCTGAGCCAGGTGTAGAGACACACGCCTGTAATCTCAGCACTCAGGAGGCTGAGGCAGGAGGACTGCCAGTTTAAGCTTAGCCTGGGCAATTTAGCAACTTGGTGAGACCCTACCACTAAATGAAAAGTAAAAAAAGGGCTGGAGAAGTAGCTCAGTACAGGTTCCCAGGTTCAATCCCAGTGTCAAAAAACAAACAAAAGATCAGGCCAGTCTGATCTTTTCAAGGCTGGATCCCCTTTAGCTTTTCAAGCGGAGGTCCATTCCCCACCTTCTTTTTCTTCCTAGGCCTCCATGAAAGCTTTTGCCACACCTCACTTTTGATTTTCACTAGTACCAAAACAAGTTCCCATATACATGCTGTATAATCAGTATCTTCCCCCCAAAATCTCAAAATGAGAGTGAGACCATTGAAAACAGTTTATTCCATATTTGCTGTGGAATTCTCTAGAAGTCAGGTGATGTCAATTTCTACCAGAGCCATATCAAGGGTCACTGTACCCCGAAGGACCTTGGGCATGGGTAGGAATCCAGCCCTTCCCACACTGGAGTGAAGAGCAGCCATTGGTGCTGGGTCACTGGCTCAACTGCAGCTCAGGTATGAGGATGAGTCAACTGTGGCCTAGTTCCCATTCTAGCAAAGAATAGCACCAAAAACAGCCTGTAGGTGAGCAAGTTCCTCGGCACATGTTTTGCTTCCTGAACCAAAAGATTTTACTTGGGTCCCCAACTTTCTTGTGGACAAAGTACAACTAAGAGTGACGACCCTGCCGTGAAACAGTGTGGGGTCCACCACCACTGTCCTCAGCTCGGCAAGCTGGCACGTGAGTCTGTCCTTTGCTTGGCCAGCTGCCATGAGAGTGCTTGGGGTGCTTCACACACCACTGCACACATAGGTGCAAAGTCATACATCTCGGCCCTGGGGAGCCACGGGGTCATCCAACCCGTTCTTCCCCTGGCCAATGACACGAAGCCTTCCCAGAGGGTCCTTTATCTTCTTGCGAGAAAACACAGATTGGGCAATATTCCTCAGGTCTGTCTGACTTGTGTCAACAGGGCTCATTTTAATGATTACCATTGCAGGGAGGGAGCTGGTCAGAACCCACAGATCGCTTATCTGTGACATGAGGCTGTTTAGTAGGGTTTCCATAAACATGCAATTTGAGTACTAACACACAGGAAGTGATAAATACGAACTCCAAACTGTGACTTGAGCTATCATTAAACACTTAGGCAATGTGTGCAGTGATATTGATAAGTATGAAAGACACAGTTCGAGGACCACCCAGATAGCAAAACCTTTATATTCATTCCGTACTCCTTTCTACATAAAACTTCTTGTCCGTGTTAACACCTCTGTATTTAATGGCTTAAGACCCATTGACTATTCTTTTTTTGGGGGGCGGGTACCAGAGATCGAACTCGGTTCCTTGTGCTTGCGCAGCAGGCAGCAAAGCCACTGAGCTAAATCCCTGGCCCCTATTGACTGTTCTTTACTGTGATTCAACTAATAGAAGAAAGAGTAGCTTCAGAACAACCGTGACTTAGAATGATTATTTATGAATGCACACTGAGGAACATTTGCCATATTATGGCATAGTACAATCAGCCAAAGAAAGTCAACTGGTGAGGAGCTTCTTAAAGCAAATTTTTAAAAAAATGTTCATAAAATCTAATTTTTTGGAGAAGAATGCTATCAATCTGTTTCCAAATTTGAGTTCATCTAATGCTAAGAGTTAAAAAACAGACCCATGTAATTATGGCTATGCTGATATTGTTAAGAAAGAAAGAAAACTCCTATAACCCAAAACACCCAGTGCATCTCAAACTACAGGAACAAGAACACTGTGCTAGGTTGAGCAACTATACTATTGCTACCATCCTAACCAAGTCAGGCTTAGGGGAACAAGTTCCCAGCTCCCTCCTTCAGCACAGAACTGCTCTCTGTTCAGCTGAATGCCATCTGCTCTAACCTATGACAAAGCCCATTACAGTTCCTCGGTCTCTGGAAGTTTGGAGGATTTCTGGTGCAGAGATAGCAGTGAAAAGGCAGTTGGAGACTGAGGCCTTGACTCTGGAATATGCTCCATTCTGTATTTTTCAATGTAAGGTGAAGCTACATCCCAAACCTGAGAGACAAGGACAGGACAAAGTTAAAACATTGACAACATTGTTTCTGTATGCTAGTAAACATCAACTTCATCCCAAGGCAAAATATCCTCTATACCTGAGTAGAAACAGAGTGGGTGTTTGCTTGCTTTTATTTTGAGGCATTTGACACATTGGTTTGTGTCAATTAGTTGTAGGTTTCATTAAGAGCTTTAAAATTACAAAGTACTAAAAGCTTAAACTGCCTCATCTTCTGAAACAAAACAAGCAAGCAAACAACAAACAGAAACTAGAAAGTTCAGCATGGAAGGAGTTAAGGATAGTTGCTAATGGGTATGAGTTGACTGTTTTTCTAAATCAATCCTTGAATGACAAAAAGCACTTTACTGGATTTCTCCATGGCTCTATTTCCGTGTCACAGGTGCTCCATGCCTTTGAATTTTGCTTCTCAAGTATAGTTGGGTCTCAGCCCCATCAGCATCACTGGGACTAGGCAGCATCTCAGAGCCTGCACTGGACCTACTGAATCCAAATCTGCACTTTCACAGCATGACCAGGAGATTCACATGGGGGTTCAAATTTGAGAAGCAAACCTCAGATCCTGTTTTTGTCTTTACTTCTGTCCACCTACATATTCTCTTTAAGCATAACATTTTTTCAAATTAGAGCCCTGTTTTTGGTTTGCAGATGTTTTTTCTCTGATTACCATGGAGAGCCAAGGAGCCTTTCCTCCTCGATGACCTTAAAAAATGTATTCTTTCAACAGCTAGGTCCCCACACACCCTTCTACCATTACAAAGTTGGTAGCAGGTAGCAGGCTTTCCTTCTAAGAGCATAGGCTGTGCTTAGAAATGATAGGTGTGATGGTCAAAGAGGAAAAGAGCAACTGTTCTGGGGAAAACAAGTGATTGTAGGACGGTGGTGGCAAACCTATGGAAGGGGTGTCGTTTCTCTTTTAAGACAAAAGATGTCAGTGTATGAGTTGCTTTTGCTGAACTAAAACCTCAGGATTCAGGTTTAATGGCAGAGTTGGGACTTTGTGATGAATAATTGGGTTTGGATTGCAGTTTGGGTACTCATCTCTTAAAATTTCACCATCACTGTTCTAGGCAATGTGATATTTACAAATCAAAAGGCTAAAAGCAGAGAGAGAGAGAGAGAGAGAGAGAACTCAGCACACTAGACATCTATATCAATCAGCTAAGTCTATGGTTAACATAACCAGAGAAATAAGCAGTAAAGGCATATTTTACCCAGCAAGACAAGGGCAGGGCCACATCAGAGCAGGAGACAGGCTCAAAGCCTTTGAAGTAACAGCCTAGACTTTATTGTCTATCCAGGGCTATGCAGCCATTGGACCTTACCTGTGCTAACATTATCAGAATAAAAAGTTCTTTTGAACAAAATAGGGCTTTTTGAGGAGCCAAGATCGACGGTCCTTTCATCTCATTTTCTCTCCATAAATATCTGTTCCAAAACTCCCTTAAAATTCATTTCGGCTTCTAAGCCTCAGGTAGTCAATGAGTGCAACACGGGATCCTTGTAGGATTATCAGACGGCTTTGCAGTGCCCTTGCAAGTTGTCTCTGTCCTTTCATGTTCACTCCCAAGAAAGTCAGGAAATAATAGAATAAGACAAGCTTTCTCCACTCCCTCCCACTTTGCTTTCCCATAGCAACCACAAACTAAGAAATAGTCTGGTAGCCAGCTTGCCTTCTGCTCAAGGAGCAACCTGTGTGCTGCCTCGATGTCCGGGGCCATGAAACGGTCTTTTATCCAGGGCCTACGGAGAGAGCATATTAGCCCATCAGCCAAACACTGAGCACTGCCAAGGTTCACAGTTTGAAGTGGTGTAACTTTCAGGGACCTGCTGACTTTACCTCACAACAGAGCGCACCAGGTCATAGACCTTCTCCAGCGGAGTGGTTGTTTTCAGGGGGCGTAGAAACTCTATGCCCTGGCAGGCTGCAAGGAGCTCGATGGCCAGCACTAGAGCAAAAATATCGAGATGATGACTGATTAGCATGTGACTTCACGCTTGAGGAATAGAAATCAGCTGAAGTTGACAGCCATTACTAGTCCACTAACAGACAACTGAGTCTCCGTCTATTGGTCAAATAAAATCGCCTTGGTATCAATGATCATTGTAGGCCTGTTTTTTTTAAAACCCTCTGCTGTATATTTACTGGTGAGAAGGGGAGAATTGAGACTTTTACCTGGACAGATTAGCAAGCTCAGGAAGCTAGCCTTTTGGCTACATCTGCAGAATTTATCATTTCTCCTGTTCACATCCTCCACCAAGGTTTGTTAGCCCGGTTTGGAGAGGAGAGGAAGTCAGAACAAATGCCCAACCCTGATGTGGAGCCCAGCTCCATTAAATATGTTTTCCTTTCACCGAGATCTTTTATTTCTCAGTTTCCAAGTCCACAGGAATGAAGTATGGATACTAAATTAGAAGACGTAAACTTTTTCTTAAGTCCACAGTGGATTATTCATCCCATCCCATTGTGACCTTTCTGTACTAAGTGGAGTTTGTAATTTGTTTCATAAATTGAAAGACAAAAAGTCAAATGTTTTTAATACTCCATTTGGGTTAACCACTCAAATGATCTGATCAACTTTAAGCTTCTAAGCTACTTTTCCTGGCAAATAATGGAATCCAGAGGGCTTAATCTTGAATTATATTTCTTTTTTTCTTTTTTTTTTTTTTGGTACCAGGGATCGAACTTGGGTCCTTGTGCTCGCTCGGGTCCTTGTGCTCGCTCGGGTCCTTGCAATTGCAAGGCAGGTGGCAGAACCACTGAGCTAAATCCCTGGCCCCTGAATTATATTTCTATAAAAACTCCTCATAAACTCCTTCTTTAGGCCATATCAAATATAGAGAAATGCAGATTTCAATATTTAAAGTGTATTGCAAAGTATGGCACATTGAATAATACATTTTAGTTGAGACAAAGTGTAAAGATTGTTTTATGGCAAAACTTGAAGTTGGCAAGGTATTTATTTCTAGAATGTCAGTTTTTAGCAGACTTGGGAGTCTTCAATTTAAAGGCTTGAGATGGACATTATGGAATTAGTTCCCGGCAGTCACTGCTCATTTAACTGGCTCCCTCAAACCTGAGATGAAGGTTTGTGCTGGACATTTCAAGCCAAGTGAGTAGCATGACATAAAACAACTTGAAATTTACGTGGAGGTGGGAATCGAAAACAGGTGATCTTTTCGATCAAAGAAGTTGAGTGGACAGTTGCTGGGTAAGAGACTTTTTTCATCTAAAGCGACTTAGATGATTGGAATAAGTAATGGTATATTGCCAAATTAGCAACTTCATTGCCTAAGCCCCAGCTTCACAGGTATTACAAAGATCTGACACACACCCTCAATTCACAAAGGCTTCATTTAAAGATAACTCCCACAAGAGCACACGTTCAGCAATCCTTCACACGGAATCATAAAGCAGAGCCTGTTGGTTGACTTTGTGTCACGGGAAGTGGTTAAGGTGGCAACTCGTGGAGTTAAATCCTGGCACTGGGACTGAAGGAGGTGTAACTTTGCACACATTACTTAACTTTTGCCTTGGTTTCCCGATCTGTACCGTGTGACAGTAGTACCCACCTGATAGGGGTACTCTGCAGATCAAATGGGTTGCGAGACTGAGTGCCCACAGTAAATGTTCAGCAAGTGTTAGTGATATGGTGCTGCCTCAGAAAGGGGCTGTCTCACAGGTAATGCCAAAACAGGAAAAACTGGGGAGAACTTTCACAAGATTAATATGAAACACGTCAGCAAAACCTTGCCACCGCTTCTGCAACATTCTGCTAGCCATAGTCAGCAGTTCTACCTAGAGCCATCAACGAGGACATAAAAACTATGCCCTTCTATGGGTAAAAATTCAAGGAGGTCAACGTATCTTAATTTAGCTGGATGCTTCTTATACGCTTCTCATTTATTTTGAAATAAGCGGATATCCTTTGGCCTGATAACCACCTTCAAACCTCCAAAAATATTTAAAGTACTGAAAGAGTCTGAAAAGTCATGGAAATACCTTCTAGTTTCATATATTATTTTCTTCATCTTAACAGAGTATAATTTACATGAATTAAATCTATCCCGAGCAAATAAATAACAGTACTACTTAGATATATTGCAAATACATTCTCAAGGATTTAAAATTTGAACTCTGTTCATTTGTCTCTGAGGCTAATGTACACCTGCGTTCTTGTCATTAGGAAAAGACTGCTTGCATTAACCTCGAACTCCCTCCCTCCCTCCCAATCTCTGCCACCTCACTCTTTGAAAAGGGTTCCTCCTTCCTCCAGCCAGCCCTTGCAATTCAGGTACATTCAGTTCCCCAGGGCAACTGTCCCACAAGGTTCTGCTCCTGGTATTCTTCTTTCTTACCTCTAGTAGCCTTCCGCTACCATACCGCAGAGAGCATTGACCTTCATCATTAATCTCAGTTCTTTCCTGAGCTTTGGCCTCTGTACCTGAATATCCTGTAATTGTTACCATCTCAATGCATCCAGAAACAATTTATTTTGTGCATATACTCCTCCTTTCCCTTGCAAAACTACTACTGTACACACACACACACACACACACACACACACACATTAGCCCTATATGTTGTTTAGCTCTTAAGTTTGGAGAAGATTTTTCTGCTCCTTTTATACTAGATCAGGTTTAGTTCTTTATACTAGGTCAGATCAAGTTGTATCTCCCTGCACCTCTGTTCTTCAGTTAGAATTTTCTCAGGTGTTTAAAGGGTTGCCAAGTTGGTACCCAGTGTTGGCCTCTGTGTAGACTTTAATTTCCAAAAGGGCAGAAGGCAGACACACCTCATTCACTGCTTAATTCACAGGTGGTGGGTGCGTGCTCTCTCTCTGCTCCCACACTAGTTTCCTGTATAATGATTAATCACTAGGTGTTGTAATAAGCAGGTTCTTATCTCATTCTTTATATTCAGTGCTACTGGATTCCAAGAGTTAGAGGTGTTTGCTAAATATCTGTAATCAAAACAAACTTAAGTGATGAACATCCCTATAATACAAATTGCTAATTTCTTTTTCTTTTTGTTAACTGCACTTCCCTGATATAAAAGGAAGAAAAAACAAAATCTGATGAGCTAGACTGGATAAAGAAAACGTGGGTTTTTTTTTAATAAAATGGAGTATTAATCTTTAAAAAAAGGAGTATTACTCAGCCATAAAGAACAAAAAACTAGAGATATTTATAGCTAAGTGGATGCATATTGAAGCAATACTCTTAAGTGAAATAAATAGGACACGTGTAAATACCGAATAGTTTCTCTAGTGTGAGAAACTGAGAGTGTAAATAAGGACTAAAAGGTACAACAGATAATGTGAAATAGGAGGAAAAGGAGCAAAGGGGAAGGGGAAGTGGGAAGGGTAAGGGAAAAGAAAGAAGGGAATGGAATTAATATGAGAAAATGAAAAAATGGAAACAAAGTCTTTGTAGATAGGGAGAGGTGGAGGGGTTGAAGGGAGGGCAGTGGAATGGGGAAAAAATAAGAATCAAGATGGGTTATGTAAAGGTGCAAATTTCTAATGATGAATGTCATTATATTGTATACCTTAAATGTACCAATAAAATTAATTTTTAAAAATCCTGATGAGCTAGATCTACAATTTGGACCTCTAGTGCCAAGTTTGTTGTCATGCAAACATTTGAACACCAAGTCTATACCAAACCCTATTCTAGGTGTCCCAGGCTCTTGCAGGGAGGTGACAAGGAGAGACAAGGTCCCTGCCCAGTGAAGCATGAGTTTCACTGGGAGAGACAAACAAGCCTAAGTATCTGAGGTACTAGGTGCTATTAGAAAACACAATAAAAGGGAAAAGAAAACCATTTGGTCCTTTAGCTGAGGCTATCAGGAAAGGCATCTGGATGAAGGATGGGCAGCTACCTCGTTGGAATGAGGAAGGGAACCACAAGAAGTCCTTGGGGACAGAGCTGCAGGCAGAGGGTCCAGAAAGGCGCAGAGGTAAGGATGTGCTCATTGGCAGGTACAAGGGTATCACCATGGTTCCAGGGAGAGAACAGGATGGAGCGAAGAGGCCGGATCATGTGGGGCTTCACAGGCCAAGAGGGCTGACTTTGTGTGGAGCACTGGGAAGGAACTGGCACTTTTCAACAAGGGGAATGGTGTGGTCTACATTTTGTCTGCAAAGGCTCGTGTGTTTTGTTGTATGAATGACTAGAGAGAAACAGTAGTGGAAACAAGATTAACCAGGGACTGACAGGATTGATTTGGTGTCTGTGGAAGATGACCTGGACAGAGGACATGAGGACAGATGAAGACGAGTCTTTAAGCTTTTGACCAGAGGGCCATGTCCATGCGGGGACATTTGGAACACACAGTAGTTGATAACAAGCGCTGGTGACATTGTCAAACAATTGGCTCCCTCAGACAGTGCTGGTGGGAAGGCAGTATGGTGTGGCTACTTCGGAAAATTGTCTAGCAGTTCCTCAAAAGGGAGGAAGGTAGTCATCATATGACCCATCAGTTCCACTCCACAGAAGTGAAGACCTATGACCACACACAAACTGTACGCGTCACCACAGCATTATTTACATCAGCTAAAAGGCGGAGGCCACCAACTACCCTTCAGCCGATGAAAGGACACACAAAACGCAGTTGATTCCCACAACAGAATGTCATTTGGCCACAAAGAAGGATGAAGTAGTGACACATGCTACAGCAGAAGTGAACCTTAAAAACGTGCTAAATGAAAGGAGCTGGTCACAAAAGAGGACTTATTAGCCAACTTCATTGACATGAAATGCCCTAACAGACATATCCATAGAGACAGAAAGTACATCGGTGTTTGCCTAAGACTGGGGAGAACAGAAAGAATAGGAACGTGATGTTTGGGGTTCTTTGGAGGCTGATGAAAATGTTCTATAATTGACTGTGGTGTTGGTCACTTGGTGACTGCAGCTAACATCACCAAACTGTGCACTAAATGGGTGGATGGTAAGATGTATGAACTATGGGCCGAGGATTTAGCTCAGTGGTTCTGCCACCTGCCTTGCAAGTGCGAGGACCTGAGTTCGACTCCCGGTACCAAAACCAAACAAAAAAAAGCATGAAGATGTACGAACTATATCTCAAAATAACTGAAGCCAAAAAAAAGAACACTCAGCCCTCATATTTATTTTAAAGCAGTGATGCTCTTGTTATCCAGTAGTACTTATGCAATATTGCTGTATAAACTTAGGAATTGAGAGGCTGTCTCAAGGAAGGTGATTTTCATTAAAAAAAAAATTGCAAGTAAGGTAGAGAGGGGGTGGCCCTAATAAACCTCTCCCTATGAAGCATCTTTGTCAAACAGGTTGGACCTAAATCTTATCAAATCTTTATGGTTACTGGGTGTGGTGGCACATGCCCATAAATCCAGCACTTGAGAGGCTGAGGCAGGAGGATTGCTACAAGTTCATGGCCAGCCTGGGCTATATAGTGAGTTCAAGGCTAGCTTGAACTACATAGTGACACCCTGTCTCAAAAAACCAAATAAAATAAAATAAAAATCTTTAGGGTCAATTTCCTGGGACAAAGATCAAGATAAAAGTGACACCACAGGCCCAGGGATTTAGCTCAGTGGCTCTGCCGCCTGCCTCGCAAGAGCAAGGTCCTGAGTTTGATCCCCAGTACCAAAAAAAAAAAAAAAAAAAAGTGACAGCACAGGGAAGCTAACAGGTAAATCTAGAATGTCCAGTCTTGCTATGGGAAAACTAACCTGATTTTTCAATTAGTCAAAAGCATGAGGGAAAACAAAAACCAAACCAAAACAAAGCAACAACAACAAAAACAGACAAAGAACTATCTTAGGCCAAAAGAAGCTCAAAATCATGACAACCAAAATTAAAATGTGGTCCTGAACTCTGATTTCCACAAATTCACTGTAATGATGTTGAGATTCTGTAACCAGGGAATTTGAATATATATTTGGTGGTGATACCAGACATATTGTTGAATTTTGTTGGATGTGATAATGGCTTCATTGGTAGAGAAGAAAGCATTCATATTTAAAAGAGAAAGTTTGTAGGAATAAAATGGTAGGACACTGGGATTTACTTAAAAATAATTTGGAAAAAGAGAAAGAAAAAGTGAAGTAACTGTGCTGCTGAATCAGGGAGGTGCATGAAGTTTCATGGTGCTGTTCTCTCCACTTTTGTATATGCCTTAAAAAGTCTCATTAAAAACAAAAGGCTGCCCAGGAACCAGCTTCTCTCTGCACAGCTGCTTGGTTTGTAATCCCCAGGGAGCGTCAGAATCATCTGGGGGACCCTTCAAACACAGCTTGCTCCCCTCTGCTCCCCGGAGGATCTGACCCGCAGGCCTGGGAGGAGCCCGAGAATCTGCATTTCTAATGAGTTTCCAGGTTGGGCTGACGCTGCCTGTGGGACCCCACTTTGAGAACCACCTGCCCTGCCACCCCCAGTCTCCAGCCTTACCATGCTCCGCGTGCTCGATGACCCTGAGGGCCTTCCTGGCTGCCCACCCACCCATGGAGACGTGGTCCTCTGTGGCGGCGCTGGTGGAGAGTGAGTCCACAGACGAGGGGTGGCACAGGGCTTTGCTCTCAGAAACTGCAAGAGACCAGAGCTACTTAGGCAGTGCTGCTCTGTGGATGAACTGCCCAAGTGTCATGTGGCTTTCCCTACGTCTCCACAGTAACCAAGTGTGGTGGGCCCCAATTTCGAGCCCAGTCTGGGCAACGTAGTGACTTAGTGAGACAATGTCTCAAAATTTAAAATAAATATAAATAAATAAATGGATGGCTAGAAATGTAGCTCAGTGCAAAGGCTCTGAGTTCAATCCCCACTACAGAGAGAGAGAGAGAGAGAGAGAGAGAGAGAGACAGAGAGGAGAAACAAAATTCTGCTTGGCCTGGAAGACCCTGTCCACGACCTCTTGGTCACCAAAACCCAAACAAGGTTGTACAAGGTACAAGTTTACTTTGGTACAAGGAAAAGGAAGCAAGTGAGAAGTTTACAGGTAGAGGCTGGGCCTGCAGACCTTGCTTAAAATGCAGTAGTGCAGGCCGTTCAGCGTGAAAGAAGTAGGCATTCGGAGTTTAAGCAACCAGAGACAGCCCCGGGGAGTTAAAGGACTCCTGTACCAGGGCCTCCAAACTTGATTGGGCATAGCAATGTCTCCAGGACCGTGCTTGAACACAAATACTGAGTTTAGGGCGGGGCCTGAGACCCTGCAGCCTAACAAGCTCCCAAGTGACATCGTACTGTGGTCTGTGGACTACTCTACCGAGGACCTTCTCTCCCCAGCTTCAGAAGTCATAATGGATCAAACGCAAAATCTTTTCTCCTCTTCAATCGATCTTGAGAATGGCTTCAGTTCTGTCCTCTCCTGCAAGGACTCAGGTTTAAATCTGAGTTTGCTCAGGATTTTCCAAGTTCTGCCACTACAAGTCCTGAGACTCTAAACTGAGAGCTTTCCTGACAAGCATCTTCTGGTGATCTTTGTTTGGAAAGATAATTTACAAAAAGTGAAACACCATTTTCATTACTAAGCCAAGCTTAATAACTTCAATGGGCAGCTTGGGAAGCTAAACTCATTCAAACCAGCCTTCTCAATGTCTGTAATGTTCTTTAGCAATCAATTTCCGTTCCTCTCCTACCACATTACCGTGAGAAGTCTCTGTCTGTCAAAGAGATATTTTAATAAACGAATGAGCAGATGGAAGACCCACACAGCATCAGGGATGAAGGTGAATTCAGCAGCTGTTTGTTGTCTGTGTTGAGTTTTAGTGAAAGGCTTGGGTGAGGAAGGTCTTAGGAGGAATATTACTGGGAACTGGTAATTATTTAGGGCTCATGATTTACTAGGCACAGCCCCAATGCTTTATATATATTAACTGATTTAATCCTAAAAACAGCCCCACTGGGTAAGCTTATCCTCCTCATCTTAGGTGGAGGTAAATTGAGGATCAGCAAGATTAAGAGACTTGACGTGACCCCACTAGTCAAGGGGAGAGCTGGAGTTCAGACCCTGGCTCTGTGCTCTGAATTAACCACCTTCTGGGTTAATTCTTGCCTTTCGGAGAAGGATAACTAGAGAAAATACAGGATACAGTTGGATTTCACATAAGACACAAATAATCTTTGAGTGTAAGTATGTCCCAAATAAATCAAACTTAACTGAGTGTCCTGTAGTTTTTTTTTGGTAAATGGGGCAGCCGTATTTTAGGATTAAATATTGATTAAAATGAGATCCTCATTCCCTGAAGTGAGAATGCGGGTTTGGGAACTAAAATGCCTGGGTTTGAATTTTCCTCTACATTTGACTGGTTGAGCAACATCGGGCAAATTACTGGACTCCTCAGGCCTCCAGATATACATCTGCAAAATGGAAATAATAATAATCAACCTCTCTCGTGGTATTGTTGTGGTGAGTGTGTCAGTACAAGTGGGACCCTTAGCACTTGCTTTGTGCCAGGCCTGCTCTGTTGTGCTACTTCTGTCTGTCCCTTACATGTCGGAGTAAGGACTCAACTACATTGAGGTTCAGCTTTCTTAGAGGGGATATTGTTTCTTGGAAGCATTTTGTATGCTGCATTAATATCTTTAGCTCCTGGAGGGGTCGGCATAGCTGACAGAATGTCCCCAGAGTTTAATCATTCAGGCTGGTTTAAGATTCATTCTTAAGTATAAGCATCTTTTCTTTTCTCCTTTTGATACTTTTCAAATTCAGTTTGGAGAAAAACTGTAAAACTGAAGCTCCTATGCCATGCCAAATTGCTTCCCATAAAGAGATTGTCCATTTACGTCCTCATGATCATATTATCATATTTCATCACATACCATTTTACATATGTTTTTTCTAAAGATGCGAAAGGAGTCGCCCTGCTACATTGGCACTAAGTGAGGCTGGAAACAAAGGGGGTAAGAGTGAGATCTCATTCAAAGGCCAAATTGGATGCTTTCATCCAAAGGCCCTTGGACAGTGAGCTTGAGTCCCGGGAGGGGCCGTGTCTTACCGAGGGCTGCAGCTGTACAGTGGGCTATCATGAACCCAGAGTTCAGGCCACCTTCCGCCACCAGAAAGGCGGGCAGTTCACTGAGGGAGGGATTACAGAGCCTTTCGATTCTTCTCTCGCTAATCGCAGCAAGTTCGTGGATGCCAATAGCCAAATAGTCCAGGGCCTGCAAGAACGTCTCCATTCAGTCGGCCTGTACTGGAAAATGTGTTCAGGGCCAGGAGCAATTTTTAAAAGCTTACTTTGGCTGGGTATTCACCATGGAAGTTTCCTCCAGAAATTGTCTCTCCCCTACTGGCAAAGACCATCTTTCAAAACAGGTTAAGGTTGAACAGAACATTTGTGGATCGCTTCAGATATAACTCAGGTCCCAGCGGCTTATGTTTAACATTGAAGAGGCAGCTTTGTACAAATGTGGGGTAAAGGGAAAGAGACAGGTCTTTCTACAACCAGTTGTTGACATAAAGGAGCACAAAAGCAAAACAATAAAAAACACATTAAAGGTAAATACTGTACACCCAGTGGGGGCAAAGACGCGGAGAGCATGAAATTGTGCTTCCTCTTGAGATTAGAGATTCCCACACACCAAAACTGTGCTAGTGTGGTGATTACTATCAGCACTGAGAAAGTTTGTAGGCTGAAACTAAGAGCAAAAACCAAGATGCCTATTTGAAAGCAAATTTTATTTCTTCAGCAGGACTGTGAACTTGTGCTCCATAGAAGAGTCCCTTGAAGGGAGGACTTTGCTGCTGAGTAACCTCTGAAATGTCTTCAGCAGTCAGTGCTGTGATATTTTCCAAACTCTGTACTTGGTGATCCCATGCTAGCCTTTGCCAACAGATAGCTGTTGACCGTCCTCACAAATCCATTTAAATGGGAGGAAAATTTAAACTCACTAAATAGCCTTACTCTCAGAGACACTGCCAATCAATGATACTCTCCTAAAACCAGCAGCCATTCAGGGAGGGACCGTAGCAGATCCTTCTTCCTGGTTCTAAAAAGCTGTTTTTGCCCATGAGGCTAAAGAATACCATCAGCCCTCTGCATCCACTGACTTAGTATCTGTGAATTCAACCAATCTCAGGCTGAAAATATTCAGGGGTAAAAACTGTGTCAGTAATGAAAATGCATGGACTTTTTTGTTTGTCATAATACCCTAACAATGCAGTTTAACAACTATTTCCATAGTATTTGTATTATGCTGGGTATTAGAAGTAATCTAGAGATGACTTAGAATATATGGGGATGTACATGGGTCATCTGCAAATACGATGCCATTTGATAGAAAGGACTTGAGCATCTGCAGAGTTTGGTATCCACAGAGGGGTCTTGGAACCAAGCTCCCACGGATGACTCACTGTAAAGGTTTGGATTTTCAGAGTGTTGGAGACGCATGTGTTACGCCAGCCTAGTAAGCCTGGCATGCCTCTTTCTGCACGTCTAACCATGGCCCCATTACCATCTCTTCTACTCTTGTCCTTGAACCTACCCCAACCACAGGCCTTGGTCTCCTCTCCAGTCTCTGAGTCTGTGTAGCAGTTAATCTCTGCATCAGTTTAGAACTTAAGTGTGTTCTCTTGTCACTTAGTTATTCCAAATCTATTTGCTACTGGAGTATAGCAATTAAACCTTAACTCTTCTACTATCCAGCATTGTGCAATAGGTGCTTTATATCTGCAGTATACAACTAAGAAACATATTTTTTTCAGGTAGATCAGTACTGTAGGAGAACTCCTAAATATTAGCCTATTGCAAGTTCATCTATAATTAAGAGCCTTTCATGAGAAAGTAAAGGACTTTGGGCTGAAATTCTTGCTGAGGCAAGTGGTAGGAGGAAAATTTTGTAGGGAATTGTTCCTGTCTCTGATAACTAGTAATTTAAAGGTATTTTTTACTCTATAAGATACCCTTTAAGGTCTAAATTATGTAAGTGTACAATAGACACCACTCCCCTTCCATGAAAGAATGGATACATGAAGTGAGATTATGTAATATTCATGAAAACTACTATCCATGTCTTGAAGACTAGTTAGTGTGGGTTTGGGTTAACTGTGAGGGAACATAAAACACTGACTAGGGCAGGCTTGTCAGGGAAGACACACTTAAAGCATCTTGTAAGAAAGATGACACAGGTGTTGTGCAACCCCTGTTAATCCGGGCTGCACCAACTCAGCACTTTCTCTAGCAGAGAACAAAGGCAGGTGTGCAATGAGAAAAAGGGATTGCTAAGGGGTTTGGCTGCCCCCAAAGGCAGCGTTGAACTCTGAACACTGTTCCCTGACTGATCACCCACACTCTAGGGAACTAGGCCATCAGAAAAACCACAGGGCTCTGGGAGAAGGGCCCCATTAAGGAGAAAAGAACTCCATCCTCGAGAAATGGAAGCATTCTTACAATTCTTTGGGCAGCTATGGGAACAGCGGGCTGGACCGAAGTCCACTTAGAAATAAAAACTCATGTTCTGGTAAGGGTTTGAACACTGCCTTCTGTTAGTGCATCTGGCATCCATAGAACCAGCGAGGCCTGCACACTGGGAGGCCAAGCCAGCGAGTCTCTGAAACCATGTTTGTGATGTGGGACTTCATCCTTCTATTACCAACCTCAGCAATGGACTTTGGGGCCAGGGCTGGAAATTTCTCCCTTTATCTCTCATGGGTCAGTTTTGAAAGTACAACATGTTAGACTCGGAACCTTAGGCCTGGGTCTGCCACTTTCCATCTCTGGCCTGGAGAAAGTCACTTAACCTCTGAACCTCAGGTACTAATGCATTTACCTATGGAATGGCAAAGCAGAACCCAGATGTGCCGCACAGTGATTACTTAGGTGGATCCTAAAATTACCAGGTGGAGATCTATAACTGAAGATTAGTGGACATTCAAAGGATACAGGATTATCTGTTGCACTGTTCAGTTCTGTGGTAATGATGCCTTTCACAAATGCTATTGTATCATTCACCACACCGTGGACCTATAATACAGCCAAAGTAAGACACGTGACTGACTGATTCCATTAAGGGTGCCAATATTCTTTTTTTTTTTTTTTTTTTTTTGGTACCGGGGATTGAACTCAGGTCCCTGCACTTGCAAGGCAGGCGGTGGAACCACTGAGCTAAATCCCCGGCCCAATATTCTTATAACATCTTCAATCGTTCCCTGGAAAGTGCTTTGCAGTTACAACCATGAAAATTATGCTTGGCTCATTTAGAATATGAAGATAACTCTGATGAATCCTTTGGGTTCTCACTGAAATCAGAACAAACCAATTACGATGTGCATTCACATTAGAGTAATCTATACAAAATAGCATGGTGTAGGAGAGAAAGGATGTCAACTCCAGACACAGAGGGTTAGGGGTAGAAAGTGGGCAAGTTACTGAAGTTTATAGTTGAAACAGAAACAGACCCAGAAAACAGACAATGGACCTTACCTAACAGCTTGTGAGAAGAATCTAAGACAATGTAGACAAACTCTTAGACATGACTCACAGAGGTCACTTGGAGCGTACTATCGAAGAGGTCGTTGGTGAAGCATAAGGGACCACATTAGGACATGCGTAGTCAGGATGCACATGAGGAGGGCAGCCACCTTGCAGCAAGCCTAAGGTCTGTCACATGCTTTATAGCCTTGCCTGCTGTCTAGCTTCCCTCAGAAGCCAAGAAACATAAGGATCTAACTGTGATCTTGTGGAAGCCACTTAACTCTCAGCCTCACTTCCCAACTGCAAAGCAGGAGAAAGTACCTGTCTCACAGTTGGGAAAATGTAACGATTTGACATATGGAAGACACTGATCGTGGTACCTGTCACACAGAGTCGGCTCTCACCCTTAGAATGACAGGGAGGTCATAAGCCAGGACATATTGTTCAATACAATTAATCTGACAATTCTTTCTCACAGACTTTTCTTTTCCTGGTCCTGGGGATAGAACCCAGCGCCTCACACATGCTAGGCAAGGGCTCTACCACTGAGCTACATTCCGCAGCCTCTTAGAGATATTGTTGACCTATTGTTTAATCAGCTAGCTAGTAAAGAACTTGCTGAATAAAAGGAAATGAGGAGGACTCTGTATCACACCCTAGGTTGGAACCTGGCACGAGCTGGTACTGTTTTTTAAAATGCCTCTTCTCAATTGCCTCATGCAAATGAATTCTACATCTGCAATGCAAGAAGCCTAATATCAACCCTGATCACCTGAATTTTTAAATTCAAGTCACACAGCATCATTTATAAGAATTTACCCTTGATTATATGCCTGATTATAAAAGGTAGATAGGTTAAACTCAGGAATAGGGAATTTTCTAGTGCAGGGAGAAACAGTGAAACTCAACAGCACGTAGCTGCTGCACCAAATGAACATGGTGAGTTGTCTATTGGACTCTGAAAAGAGCTTAATCAAAGCAGTTCAAAAGAAAACATTTCAGCATATAGAGTAGAAAGTTTATAGTTGGAGAAATGAAAGCACGACATACATAATTTTCAATGAAGGTAGTAAAGAAAATTTGGATTATAATTGGCCATGATATGATTTCTTAACACATTCCTCTTTTTCTATTTCTTTCCCTTGAACTCATGGAAACAAAAGAACCTGCGTTGGCTTTTTTATTTTACCTGGGGACAGCAGCGCAAGGTGTATGCGTCCTGAACACGATCACAAAACCTGTGACTCTCTGGGAGTAGAGGGGAGAGAGGAGCAAATTATCACTTCTTCCCACGGAATACAGAACCAAAAAGGCTCACTCACACACATGTCGGACCTGCTATTTCTGATGGGTGGTGATCAGAGTCCAAGAGTGACCGAAATCGAAAAGCAACTTCAATTTGCCCACGATGAGGACGAACAGCGTGAATGTCTGGAATTCAGGAAGGGAAAAGGTCTGTGTAGTTCTGATACTGCAGGGAAATACTCAAGGTGCTGGCACGGCCCTCAAAAGCTCCACAGGTCCTCACTCACTGTGCAGAATCAGAAACTTAATTCCCAAAGTGAAACCATCCTTATGGACTTAATTCTTCCTACTTTAAATAACTGAGTATAAACTATGCATTGAGCTCCTTGGAATTGAACTCGGGACACTGGGCTCACCCTAAGAAGAACTGGCTCAGTGATAGCAGGGAACTGGAGCAGTGAACTAACTTATTAGCCAAGTCACTCTTAGACAGTCCTACTTCTTAATGTAGTCAGAAATTCACTCCGTTCTACATCAGCTACTCCTATAGTTCTACAATTTTCCTCCTTCAATTTTCTAATCAGCGCTGATCTTAATCCAGCTCTAGTTTTAAAGTCTTGCAAGCAGATTCCTGAAACACTTAGTTTGACACACTGGGTGATCTGGGGCAGTCACCTAACTCTCCAAGTCAGTGTCTATAAGACATGGTCATTGCAACGATGGAATGTGGAGGAGAACTTGGAGGAGGCTCTGGCAGTCCTAGGTCTGCCATGGGCACCTGGGTTTTCTCCACCTTCCTGACCACCCAACCCCACCACTCCAGTGTCTAAAGACCTCAACCAGCTTCCCTGCAGGCTCTGGCTGAATGCACGACTGAAGGGAAGAACCCTGCTGACCAGTATCGAAGGCTTTGGTGGTGCCCTTCAGCACCTCAAGGGTCAGGGCTGCCACGATGTCAGCCTGCCGGGCGATAGCACTGGCTCTCTCTACAGCTTCACAGCCCAGCGACGTGATCATCTGCGTCCCATTGATGAGCGCCAAACCCTTTGGGGAAGGAGAGAAGAGTTCCCAGCTCTGTTTTAGAAAACCTCCTTACAAGTGGTTTTCACACTTTTTGCTTTTGTAAGAGAAACATTAGCCCGTCAGCAGAACTGTTTATCTGTGTTTTCTAAAGTGCAGGGCAGTGATGCTTATTTAGCTACTAGATGTGAAATCATCAGCACAAATCTGGCAAACAGACTATTGTAGGATGTCCCCTTCTCAAGGCAGGCGTGTAGCACTGGGGCAGGGACTGCACATACGATTGTTAGCACTTTATTATGTCACATTTCTTCTTAATGTCCTACAGTGGTAGATAAGGTATCCAAAAACAATTCTTAATTTGGCTTAGAGGATCTCCCAGGGATCCTTGGAGAACTAGATTTGAAGTTTAATTCCCTACAAGAATCCCCAAAATTTGTGGCCTGAAGAATTGTTTGAAGGCTCATAGGAGGGTCCTTTCTTCAGGGAGCAACTTTCAACCGACATGTAAGTTGTGTTTGCTTTAAGGAACTAGTGTGATTGATATAGCGATTATATAAAGATTGATATAAAGTATAGTGCCTAGAGAAAGACTTGTTAATATGAACAAGTTTTCCTTCAATCTCTTTACCTCTTTTGGTTTCAAAACAACTGGTTTCAGTCCATGGGCTTGCAGGACCTATAGAGAGATTTAAAGAATGAAAAGGGCATCAAATGAAATACTAGTCTGTTACTGATTTTGTATGGAATCCAATAAAAGATCTTTATGCCCCAAAGTCCATCTTGCAAAAGATTAGACGTAAATGAGTTGGTTCTGTTCATGTTTGCTACTGTAGTCTCTAGTTCTGATTTTTAGTCTAAAAGCAAACTGATCTTCCAAATAATTTTTGTGCTTAAACAGTGTCTACACAATCAATATTGGTTTCTTGCTCTGTCGGTTGTTTGCATTCAGTCGCTACCTGTTTTATTGCTGCTTGCAGACACACCTGCTCTAGGCTAAGGCTGGGCTCCTCCCTCTCTGTCCATGTGCTCTGTCTCCAGAGCTTGACCTAAAAGCTCCTCTGCCTTTATTTCTGCTTTCTCTAAACACTGGCAGAACCTCAGAGCAGGCTGTGGGCAGGAAATGTGTGCACAGCAATGAAGAGAGGATTGTGGAATCCTCTCTACCAGATGGAGACAGGATCCTTGAGGAAAGGAGAAGAATAGTTTTCCCCTGAAATAAAAGAAGTAAAAGAAGTCACTGAGTTAAGGTCCGTGTAGGGATGAAGGCAGAAGTTAAAGCCAGAGAAAGACAGAGCCAGTACCACTTAAAGAGATCTATTTCACAGGAAGATCTGAACACCCATTGCATGCCAGACTGTCTTCAGGCTGTTGGGCTAGGCCTAAGAGTAGGAAAAGTAGAGAGACACAAGCTCAGGAGCAATGAGAGCAATAGTATGCTGGGTGCTTGAGGGTGTAGGAAGTATGGAGGGGAGAGTGGGAAATAACCTCATAAGCTGCTAGGAGAGCAGCAAATGCAGGCACAAAGAGGCTTGCGGGGAGGTAGAGAAAAGGGCCAACAGAGCAGCTTCGAGGGGACTCTTTGAAAGGAGAAATGGGAATGAGGCAGCTGGGGAGGAGAGGAAGGCACTTGTGCGGGTCCTCTGCCTAGTACCCAGCGTGTTCCAGCTGCAGGCAACCTCTGGTCTCAGTGGTAGAGAATGTGGGTAGGAGGGATGAGGGGATCATGGGACAGAACAGACCGCTGAAGTCACGTTACCTCTAGACTTCATCATAAGGATAGTGGGAAGCATTACAGATTTTAACCAGAACATCTTTGGATGGCTGTTTAGGAAGTCAGGCTGACAGCTTTGTGAAGGTGGTTGGAGAAACATTGTCCATAGAGAAATAATCAAGAAGAGGTGGCACAGAAGAAAGATGATCTGGAACCAGTGTCCTCCAAAGAATAATCTACTCTCTTAATCTGTTCCTCCTCCTTGGCCCTCTGCCCCTTTTACTTACTGTTGCAGGACCTCCCAGAAACTGATCAGAGGTGACACTTAAAATGATGCTTTGGGCTGCTCTGATGGAATTTGGAGATAGATGAAGAAAGCAATAAAGCTTTATGGAAAACAGGCTTTTCTGATAATCTACCAGGGAGAGAGCTAGGGGAAAAGTAGAAACTGCTTTCCAGAGTACATAGTAAGAACTATGATCCAACTCCTACATACAATTGTGACAAGGTGTGACCAATGGACATTGGAAGTGTTGTGGTGCAGAATAAATTCCTAGATTAACACTAGCAACTGTATCTTTTCACCAAGGTGTCCCCCAAATCTAGGGAACTGACAGTCAAGTAAGGAAGGTAACAGCCCTGCCTAGTTTGACTTCCAAGGTTGAGCTGTCTCATCACTCATGTAAGGGTCACAGTGGCTTCCTCACTGAACTGTTATAAAGCTAAGTGACAGAAAGCATGCTAGAGTCCCCGGCGTCCACAGTGGACAGATGCTGTTATAAAAGTCTTACGTATTTGGCTTCTGCCCAGCCACTCTTTGGAGACCACATCTTCCCTTCTCCAATTAGCCCAAGAGCAAGATGAGAGAGTGGGGCAAGGTCTCCACTGGCACCAACAGTTCCTTTCTCTGGGACATAGGGCAAGCAGGAGGCTGTGGGAGAAGCAGGCACCAGTGATGTCACCGTTATCCTTGCGTTGCCAGTGAGGACCACATCACCTACAACTGGGATCAATTTATGCATAAATACCCAGGCAAAGACAATTCCTCAAGTCCAGTAAACGCTTAAGCGACCCAGCTGAGCTGCTACAGAAAGAAAGGGCTAGGGTGGAAGGTGGACAAGAAGGAAAGAAGAGGCAAGGAGGGAAGGCAGAAGGCCATCCCACCCCCATAGAGAAGCCTTCAAAAGGTGCATGTGCTAATCTGATCTACTAATTCCACTTTTAGAAGTTCTAGCAACGTGTCTCAAAGACATGATAGGAATTAGGTGTTGCTCATTACAGCCTTGTGTATAAGAATAAAAAGTTAGAAGTGATCTAAATATGGAATTAAGGGACATTCATGCGACCAAATGGTATGTAGCCATCAAAAGCTATTGGAGAGTGTTTGGAAACACACGAATGTCTACCTTAAAACACTCGCATGGCATGTACCAGAAGTTATGGTATCCTAACATATTAACACGGGTTCCTCATGCTGGTAAAGTCATAGGCAACTGAGTCTCTTTCTTTTTTGCCAGTCTTCCAGTCTGCTGCCCCACCACCACTTATAAATGAGCATGTACTGTTTTATGAGAAATTCCCCCCAAATAATCAAAATAGGGCTACACTGTAGATCGGGCATCCACATTGCCCTTCCCTGCTTGGCATCTCGTATCTATGAGTAACATGTGCCCCAGTATAGAAGCCCGAGCATGGGGTCTGCTCTGTGTGACTACACAGGTTTGCTGCTCCTCCTACTCCTTTCCCTCATGGAGCACTTGGTTCCCACTGACCTAGGTTTATCTTTATCTGTGAGAAGAGACTGTGCTCCCCAAGCATTGCAAATCCCATCTCCCATCAAAAAAGGAAGTGCCACAGCTGCGTGAGCTGCATAATGTGCTGCTACTGCAATAGCTTCATGATTAATTGAGTCATTGGCCACATTTGTGTTCCGCCCTCGCAGGTGGTTGGATCTCAGTGTGCAAATGTAGCTGGTCCACCACCTGGGGAGAATTCTGATTTCAGATTCCCAGCAGCCCACTGGGATTAGTGAAGTGGTCTTTGGGGTGGGCATCACCTGGAATCATTATGGTCTCCACATGATTTGATGCAACTTTTGTAATCGCATGGACAGCACTGAATCAATGGTTCTGTCTAGTACAGACTTAAAGGGCTTGTTTGATTTTTATTATTATTATTTTTTCAGATAGGGTCTTGCTCTATAGTACGGACTTGCCTCAAACTTGCAATCCCCCTGTCTCAGCCACCCAGGTGTTGGGATTATCAGCTTGTGGCACCACACCCAGTTTCATTCTAGACTTATAGCTGTCAAATGCTAGGCAAAGGGTGCCATAGGATGGTTATAATTCACAGGACTGTCTCTGCCCCTTTAGTTCCCTCTCTCTACCTAGCTATCCTCTGCCTTGCCAGACCCACTTTCCACTCATCTTCTTATCTCAGCCACCCTTCAGCATGCAGTCAGCCAATCATGTCTACCCTGCAGGACATGCCCTGCCTCCACAGAAGTTCAGTCCAGGGCTTCACTGCCTTACCATTAAATATTTCAATAACTTGTTTGAGGGTCTCCAGGGAAATGCCACTGTATCCTTTGGCTAAGACATTGATCCTTAGTGCCAAGAGCATCCGACACCTTTCAGGACTGAATGGTTTCCCAACACCTGCAAAGCAACACTGGCATTTACTCCAGGAAAAGCAAACCCTTTCCCACCTCCCAGTGGCCTCCATCCCTCACTCAAATCCTTCACTCTTCAGCTCAGGATCCTCTCCATGTTCTGCCGCTGGCTGTGTGGCTCTCCCACGCTTGTCTTGCCTCTCAAAGCATCAGCTTCCCAGCAAAGATAGAGCCCCATTCCTTTCCTGGCCATGCTTCAGGGGCCCCCAACCTCCTGAGCCCCTTTAGAGGTTCTTTCATCTTGAGGGGTGCTGAGTCTGGACAGACTTCCCCACTCCCGTGGCCCATCCTGACTCATTCCCCAAGCTCCTGCCTTTGTTCTCTCCCTTGAATACACCACTCCGTCTGCAGTACCTCCCAGGCCGTCCCTCTGCTTGGCCCAATCCCTTTCTGAGGTTCAGCAGAAAAAAGCCATCTGCCCCCTTCCCCTGCCGCAGCACCGGCCTTTGGAATGTGCTGGGGACACACTAGCTGCTCCTGGCTGTGCCGATGGGTCACACTGCACTGTGACCTTTATTCATCTACTCAAACAGGAGCCAGGAGGCACCCAGCGCTTTGAATGATTTACCTGAAGAATGGGAACGAACTAAGTTCACTTGAAGTTCCCTGGAAGAGAAAGGTTAAAAACTCTCTTAGATACCTTGAGGTAGAAACCTTTCCTCCACTGGAAAGATGAAGGAAGAACAGATCCGTGGCAGATGCAGTGGAAGAAACAAACCTGCCTGTGTTTTCACTACCAGGTTGTATGCAAGTTGCCCCATGCCTCACCTTGCTCATCTGTTAAGTAGGGGAAATACCAGCGATTTTCCTTGTTGGAAAAAAAAAATCTCAAAGATAAGGAAGGTGGAATATGAACATACATGGTTTTCAAACTTACTGTAGCTTATTGACAGGAATTACGGTTCTGGCAAATTTTCCAAAACCCGTAGTAATGCCGTAAACAACTAGAATAGAAAACACATTGTGCAATTAGATGCAAGAGGGATTTTTTTTGTCTATAGAAAGACATTTAGAACAGAAAGGAAAAAGATACCTGTTTTTTCCTCTATGATCTTGTTTATGACTTCCCTGGATCGTTGTACCTTTTGCTCAGCCACGGGAGTGAGCTGGGAAAATGTTGGTCAGAACCGTGTATGTTAATGACTTCCATGTCCAGCAGAAATGTCCACAAATTCTTCCCTTCCCCCATACCTTTATTTTGTAGTGTCCTTTCCCCAAGCTGACCAAATCTTCCGTAGTTAGGCTGTCCCCGTCTAAATCGATATACTTTGCAAAAGGAAGGGATCTCAGTCAGTGTGAACAACTTAATAGTTCTACAGTTAAGCAGAATCCCATTTTGACACTTCAGAGATTTGACTACTGCCGTGAAACATTAATGTGCTAATTAAAAAGACAGCTTTCTTACAGGAGGTTAGGCAAGGAAAGTTAGAAATGCAGAGGCGCAGTGCCTTTCCTGGCTTCCTAACCCTGCTGCACAGAACTGAAAAGCCTGTCCTGATGCGTGGTTATGCAGCCTGATTTACATCATGTTTATGTAGACCTTCACATCCTCCTTACACGGGGACTTGCTTTTTCTCAAAGGAAAAGGAAGTGGTTTGCAGCTTACCTTTTCAGGCTCCCGGTATTTGCTGTATCTGAAGCCAGGTAAAGGAAAATATTGGGTAGTGTGGAAAACCCCCAGCCCCCAGGGGTGACCAAAGGGCCTGAAGGAAAGGATACAGGTAAACCCCTTCTGGTTGGGAGGGAATGAAGTCGGGGGACATTGCATCGCCTTCTATGACTGAAACAAGCAGGTGGGCGAGAGCCCTTAGCAATCAGCACAGAGCCACGTTTGGGCTGCTCCGAAGTCAAGAAAGGGCCATGAATTGCCTGTCCATGTATTTGATAGAAAACGACTTTCCCTGCCTACAGTAGTCTTAGCATCTTCACACGGGAGAGAGAGAGGCAGAGATCCTGACACTGGGGTTTACATGGAAGCTCAGGATGGAGGCCACCTCGCCCCCCACCCTGGCTGTGTGATCTTTGAGATCTGGATCCTGACGCTTCTGTGCTGCTTGCTGGCTTCTCATCTGGTGAGGTCTATCAAAGGGCAAAAGGACCTTCAAGACGATTCAGTAACTGCTAAGGGACTCAGACCTGCAGACATGGGTTTGAGTCTAGGCTTTTTTGCTTACTAGCTGTCTGCAAGTTATGCTTCTCTGAGTCACTGCTGGCTGTCAAAGGTGGAGGAGAAGGCTCCCAGTCTCCTGGGTTGGGCAAGAATCTCACCCCAGAGCTTTGGCTCAGAGCAAGAGCTCAACAAATGTGACTGTTCTCCTCCTTGTTCTTGAATGCAGGTGACAATAGAGCCCCCTTCCAGGACTGTTAGGACAAAGCTTAAATGCCCACCAGTTCGTCCACCTCCCCTGCAGCCACTCACCCACTTCCACAAACTCATTGTTCTCCAGGGCCACCTCCAGCAAGTCCTCGTTGTCCAGCAAGCCCAGGCCCTTGCACCGGCGCACAAGGAAGCATACGTCATCCACTGAGGCGAAGCCACCGTTGTCCGGTTTGTTCTTCATGTAGCGCCGCACGGCCTCGCGGCCCAGCCAGCCCACAGTGAGCTGCGCGCCCTGGCAGGGCACGGCCAGCCATTCCCCGCGCACGTGCACCGTGTACCTGGGCATGGCTCTGCTCTGCGACAGGCCTGCGGGCTCCTCCCGGACAGTCACGGGGGAGTTTTTATCCTGCGGGAACCAGAGAGGTGTGGTCGGCGAGGATGGCCTCTCAGAACACACCCCTTCCCCCTTCCCGTGCCTTTACTCATTCACGCCTTGGACAGATATTTATTGTCGGCTCCTGGTGTTTGGCTTTTTGTAGCTGAGTAAGAAACAGAAGGGGCGCAGGCCAGTGAGTGTCTGTCTGTCTGTCTGTCTGTGATCCACCCCTCTGGTCAGGGCCCTCCGTTTCTCCCTGTCTGCATTCTCCTCCACTGAGGGTATCTTATAAACAGCAGGTTCCTGGCTGTCTGGAATTTCTCAACTGTAAAACTCACTCTGATGGCCAAGCGAGACACCCAGCAGTGTGGCAATCTCCACTCATTCGTTTGTTCCGCAAACACACATTGAGCAACGACTCCCCGTCACAGGTAAGTCTTCTGACACTCTTGCTCCATAGGGAAGACCTCAAAGGCCAGCGGTCATTTTCACAGCTGAAGGTCAGCCACTGGATAACCACTGCCGCTCAGGGCCCATACTTTCTGCCCTGGGTGAAGTGAGTTACTCCCACTCAGAGGCAAAGGGGTTAACTGCTCTGTGCAGTAATTTGGGCTCAGATCCCGGCTCTGCCCTTTCCTACCCGTCTGGCTTCTGGGAAAGTTACTTGACTTTTCTGGGCCTTATTTTCCTTGTCTATAACATGAGGATAATAGTATCTACTCTGAAGGGTTCTCGGGAGGATAAAGTGAGTTCATACATGGAAAGGCCTGGGATCAGCATGTGGATGGTGGAAATGTTGTAGAAGACCTGGACTTTAATACTGTGTATTACCTCTACAGCTCTATGAATGTTCTTCCTTCCTGGCACCTGGATATTCCTAATTATGCAAATTTACCAGAGAGACATAAAAGAAACAGCTGCCTCCAAACTAAGAGGAGGTTGACAGTCAAAAGAACACTTGGACAAGTCTAGTTGGTGAGTGAGTGGATTAGGGGTTACTGACAGAGCAAATAACTTGACTTGTGAGTTGTGGCACTATCAAAGTTGCCCACCCCTGTGCTAGGCTTGTGGGTTTTCCAGATCACTGATTAAAACAGCAAAAGCAGGATTGAGAGCAAGAAGGGGCTTGGGGAAAGTTGTGTGTACTCTGCTCCCATCCCAGCCTCATCAGGGAGCGCTGCTGGTCTCAGCAGGCGCTGCCCATGGCAATGCTGGGTGACCTTGTTATGGCACAGCCTGGCACATGTCAGCACCTGCTGGCCACTGGGGGCCCCTGCATGGCTGGTGTAGGGTGTGCACTACTAGATGGAGTCACTTTGGGTAAGGTTCCAAGGGCAACTCTCACTCCACACCAAGCCAATTACGCTTCTTTACCAGGGATTAACTGCTCCGTGCACCCAAGTCATTACCGCGAGTGTGGAAGAACTCTGAATTGGATGAAAAAGGAGTCGAAGAAAGATGTGCACTGCTTTAATGAAGCAGCGCTTTAGGAGAATTCAGCGGGTAAGGGTTTGTTTATTTATTTATTTATTTATTTTAAATCATCATTTTTATTTTATTTTTTTTTTGGTATGGGGATCAAACTTGGGTCCTTCCACTTGTGAGGCAGGCGGTGGAACCACTGAGCTAAATCCCCGGCCCGGGTAAGGGTTTATTGCAGTAGAAAACCCTGAATTGTCTGTTTCCATTACCACAGACTTCATCAGAAAGTGACTCAGCTTCTCCCATTATCTCCATGTCCACACCCCGTCTCTCCTAAGATAGCGTCCTAGTCTAACTGCAAACTGCCCTTCAGCCACCCACTTTGCCCACACCTTGGAATTATCATTGCCTGAATTCGATGAGTCATCCTAAATTTTGACATCTCACTCCTGACTGGAACTTCCAGCCTTCCAGCTCTTCCCTCCATCATCTCTGCCCTTCTTGCTTCCTCCTTTACTTCCTAGGAAGCTCATTCCAGTTGCTCACCTGGACCAGCCTTGCCCAAACAGGAGCAAGGTCCTTTGCAGCCCTAACTCCATGCCTACACTTGAGCCCATGCACTGATGCCGAACCATCTCTGTTCACCAAGGCAGGCAGATGTCCTGTGGCCCTACAGACTCATGGTTCTGCCCTGGGATGCACCCTGCACGTCAGTGGGTTCCACAGCCTTCACCCTCAACATCCAGCTGTCTGATCTCAGAGGCTGGCCTGATCCCCTGTATCTACGGGAAAGCGGAAGCCCTTGGCTGTGACCCACCTTCTCCCTGGCTCCTCCATTCATTTCATTTATGCATTCAACAAACATTTCTTGAACACCTGCTATGTAGGTATAAAAAGCTCTATGTGAGGTGCTGGGCATGAAATAAATGAGACATCCTTTGCCTTCATGGTGCTGTCCAGCGATGGATGCAGATTTAAGCTAAGAGGTCCTGTTATCCCCAGTGAGGATTGGAAGTCCTCGACTTCTGAATAATTCCAAGATGACACAGCCCCCACTCCTGGTGGTTTAAGGACTCTAATCTCAGGCCCTGGGCACTGTGAAGCAGACTTATTCTTTTTCCAACACGTCTCAACTTTCTTTGCTTGGGCTCAGTGACCTTCAGCTGCTTTAGCATACCCATGTACCTCTTTTTTTCAGTGCTACCTAAAATCTATCTTTGCTCATCCAGTAAGCGTGTGGGTATCTGAGCTGGCTCAGACACAGCACATGCTTATTAGTTGCACTGAGCCGGGGGGGAGGGGGCACCCACTGAGCCAGCCTCAGGAAACCCTCTCCCAGGATAGGTTTGTCTTCAGCGCCCTCTGCCTTCTCCATGGCATCCTCCACACCTCTCTTCCCCCTTTGCCTCAGCTCACTTTCAGCATCACTGGTCGGTGCCAGGAAACGGCAGCTTCATTTGTCTTGGAAGCTGATAGGGCAGAAGCAGCCTTACAAAGCATGATTGGGGTGCATGGATTTGCTGAGGTCTGACCACTTACAATGTGATTCTACACTGGGATTCGCTCCCTCCTCTGGTATTCCATGCAATGGGGCAAATGAGAGCAGAGACTTAACCCAATCACACTGCAGTGCAGGCCAGTTTCCAACAGGACACAATTGTGAGAGACAGTGGGACAAGGGAGAATTCTCAGGACTCCAGGGATGGGTCCATCCATCCTCTGGGTGTCCATTCCTAACCATTTTCAGACTTTTGCCACTGCATCAGCATTTTTGGGTGGATTATTCTCTAAGGTAACATTCCTCATGGCTAGAGGATATTTGGCCAGGGGTGGACCTGACCGGGGTCAGTCTCAGGGTCTGTGAATTTGGCACTGAGACGATGTCCCCTTGTGGAAGGAACCATTTGTAACAGCAGGGTTGGAGGTATCCAGACTGTACAATGTGGACTAGAGACACAGAGTGGAGACAGAAGACCTGGTGCCTCTGCAGGCCCCTTCTGTCCATGGGGTACGCCCCCTCCCCCGCCAAATAATCAGTCACTTGTGTTGCTGTTGCAGGTGATCAAAGAATACTAACTAATACAGCAATGGTTCTCAAACTGCTTGCTGATGTAGGTACCCTGGGGCACTACGCTGCACTCATGGGCGTGCTTGGTCATTCTTGCCTTTGCTTCAAGAGTCCCACTGTTTCAGGGCATGATTCTATATGCTGCGTGCTGTGGGGGGCAAAGCATGTCTGAGTATGGCAGCAGGGTCATCAGCACATCAGGTGACTACTCAAAGGGGCCGATGGAGGAGCTGATCCTGAGGGCAGCCATCTGATGCCTGGACAGAGGAGCCCGGGACAAGTCCACTGGATCAGCAGGATGGCACTGGGGCTGGGGAGCAGGGGTCGTGCTTGGAGTTTACGCGTGTTGGTGAGGGGGTCCACCTGTGTCCCCCAGGTGGTGGGGAGCAAGTCCAATCCAGTGTGCATTTGCGAGGCTATTTAAGACTCAAACCCTCACCATGCTGAGTCTTTGGGTTGCAACAGATTCAAGTGAAAGAACTTCAAAAAAAGTCAGGTAAAGAATATGTTGACACAGTTCATGACCATGGTGGGAAAAAACAAATTTAAAAAATTTAAACCTGTAAATCAAAAGATATAAGTTCACTACAATTTACTTTTCAAAGAGTATACCACCAGTTTAAAAAAAAAGTTGCAAAATTCAGAAAAATCACTGACAGTAAAAAAAACAAAACTGAAAAGACATCTTTTTAATTACAATGTAAGTTGTAGTTTTATATTTCTTCATTAAATTTAAAAAAGAAATTTCTGAAATCGGCACATGGCAGGTCCTTAGTCCACCTTTAAATCCTTCCCCACGAGCATTGCGGTCACAGGATGCATGCTGGCCTTGTGCCCTTGGTAGGTTTGGACGGCTTGGTCATGGGATCTGTCGAAGGCGGCCAGGTCCCTGCCAATATAAAAGGAAAGACAGGGCGGTGCGGGGAGACAGTCACAGGAGAAAGAGAAATGGAGATGGAGGTGGAGGGAGAACAGGAACACAAGTCAACACCCAAGGTTAAAGATGACTGCAGGGGTGAAAGCGAAGTGTCTCCCAACAAAGCACAGGTCCCAGCAATCAGAGGACCTGTGCTAACCTCTGTGTCACAGACTGATTGGCCCTCACACACTCGGTCACAGACAGGTGGGGAGGGGTCCTGGGAGGGGCCGGAGGGGCCGGGACAGTGGCTGTTTACCAAGCAGCACGGGAGGACTGGGGTTTGAGCGCTATCCTCTTACTGGCTGGCTACATCCGCCTTGTGTAAGACCACACCAAAGACTTCTGTCTTTTTGAAAAGTTCCTTATTAAAGTTTATATTTTTAATCAAAACTTTAAGAGTGTAAAAATAGAAATTTATAAAAAGAACTTCTGAAAACTTCAACACAGAGTAAAAATACTAACCATTGTAAAATCATAAAGATGGTACATAAATTGGAATGACCATAGAAAATACAGGATCGATCACTTCAAATATAGCTATCTGTAAATCACAAGGAAGAAATATTTATTTTTTCCTAAAAAGGTATATTCTTGTTTAAAACCTGTTTAAAATGTACTTTACTCAATTCAAAGCTTGACAGGTTTCAATCATGGAAAGTATATAAAGTATACTTTGAAACACTTTACTTAAAAATTTTGTGGCTATATTTTAAAAACTAGACATGACTTGTATTGCCAAATTTTATAATACCAGTGAAGTAAATGAAAAGCAAATACATTAATCATGGATATTTATATCATGACTGTATTTTTTCAGACTATAAAACAAACGCATAGTCTCAATTCCATGGAGATATTCTTCAATCTTATCTAGCTGCCAAAATATAACTTTCCCCCTTTTACCAAGCATTCCTTTACTATATTTCAAGCAACCTACTTTTCTACTTCTTAGCAACATTTGAATCAAAAAGTTTTGTTTAATTTGCTCATTTCTCTTTGAATTTAGTTTTAGATTCTTTTTCTTGCCTATTCCTACTCACCAATATCTCTTAATTCTTTTTAAAATCCTTTGGTTTATATGACTTTGTTTTATTTTCTTCTCATTAGCGTCTAACCCTGTTTGACAGTAATAGGTAATCCATATACAATACTTCTTAAAAAGCTAATAAAATTATCCCGACTTTACATATTCAGAAATATGAATTCCTCCTATATCAATAATAAGCTTTAATAAATTTAAAACACTTTTTTACAAAGTATCTTAGCAATAAAAAAATGTTTTAGGTTTTTCTTCCCATTCCTTGTATAAATAGGAAGCATAGTTTGACTAAGACTTACTTGAATAAAGGTCGTGTGAACTTCATTCTCCCTTGTTCAGTTGCCATTTTTAGAGCCAAAGGAATCGCTTCCTCCCACTTCGATTGAATGCAAAGCCGTAACCATCTGAAAGGAGGATTTTCAGGGGGTGTGGGGAAGAAGAGGAGCAGGAAGGAAAAGGAAATAACAAGCCCATCTGAATATTACTGTCAAAGACGAATAATCCTATTACAGCCATATCACACAGCACTTTCTGTCTTTACTCTGAGAATCTCAAATCCATATATAATATGGTTCTGGGAGATGACTGTGCGAGAAGGTAGCATGTTTTAAAAAGTTTGGATTATGGGCCGGGGATTTAGCTCAGTGGTTTCGCAGCCTGCTGCGCAAGCGCAAGGACCTGACTTTGATCCCCGGTGCAGAAAAAAAAAAAAGTTTGGACTACAGAGGTGCTCATGGACCTTATAAATGCAATTTCTGGAGGAATTAAACTTCAAATCTTAATTAAGAAAGCTGGGCCGGGGATTTAGCCCAGTGGTTCCACCGCCTGCCTCTCAAGTGGAAGGACCTGAGTTCGATCCCTGTGTACCAAAAAAAAGAAAGCTGACATAGAACCAAATGTTTCTGACTACTGCCACTTCAGAGTCAATTTGGCTGATGACTATTTCGGCCTATTTACTACTGAATCCTTTGTTCTATTTTTTTTTTTTTTTTAAGGCAAGAGCAGCTTAGAATAAAGTCTAACAAAAAGATTAATGATAACATCTTACAGACACT